CCATTGATAGAGTAGCAGAGTAGAGAAGAGTAGATAGAGAACTAGTAGATAGAGATAGAATAGATAGAGGTAGAATAGAGATATTTGCCTTTTGTTCCTGTCCTGACCGGCTTAGCAGTTGATCAAGTCTGGTTGTTCTTTATTAGTGGCTGGACTTTTGCTGGTCTTTTCTTCTTCCTTTTCTTCTGTTGCCAGCACAGCCAGACTCCACCAGACAGCAGACAGCAGACGGCAGACAGCAGACAGCAGACTGATAGAGAAAGAAGAAGAAGAAGAAGAAGATAGCCAGTCAATTGCTGCAGTTGGTTCTTTGCTGGTGGCGCGCTCTGACTTCTCCTGGTGGCCTCCGCGATACGCCAGAAAACCCTGCAAAAGACTCCAGACAGCAGCAGACACACAACAGGATTCAGATACAGAGGATACGAGGATAAGAGGACAAGAGGATAAGAGGATAAAAGGATACAGAGGAAGAGATATTATTGAAGACGGTGTTTGGCAGCTTGGAGCTGGATTACGGGCCGAGATGTCCATCACCTCGCCCTCCGCCTCTGCAAAGAAGGCCATCCACAAGATAGACATCGCCCAGGTAGGCCTCGTTTCTTCTTCTCTGCTTCTATTCCTCTAGCTAACGGCCATGCAGGTCTCGCTGAATCTCCAGGACCGGCTGGGACTCGCCAAAGTCCGCTACGAGCGCCTTCACGGCCTCCGCAGAGACAGCGACTCAGACACGGACAGCCGCCCCCAGAGCCAGCAGCAGCAGCAGCAGCAACACCTCTACGGCCAGCACAATGGATTCCCCAGCGAGACAGGCTCTGACTGCTCCTCGACGGACTCGGCAGACGCCCGCTACTCGACGCCCTTCACCTCCTCGCCCGTCCGCACCCCGATGCTGAGCAGGGAGCTGCCCCGGTCCGCCCGCAGCAGACACGCTGCCACCTTCGACATCAAGACGATGCAGTGCATGACCTCGGGCGGCAGCTCGCGCAAGAGACGGCGCTGTGATCCGGCCATTGCACTCGCCGCCGCAGCAACAGCAGCAGCAGCAGCAGAGAGAGTAGACTCGGGACGCCGCCGCCAGATGCCACGGCTCTCCTTCAACGGCAGCAGTGCCGCAGCTGCGCCGCACTCCTCCCCCCTGGCCAGACGGCAGCACCAGCGACGGACCTACCAGACCATGCCCTCCTTCGTCTCCGAGACCGACACCATCCCGGATCCCGACATCGACAGCGCCGACATCGATCCACAGCTGGCATCCCGGCGTCATCACCATCACCATCACGAAGAAGACCACCACCAGCCATGCACACCTCCTCCTCGACGCAGCCGCTTCTCCGACGACGACGCTGCAGCTTCAGGCTCCGGCGCTGACCTGCTCCTCTACCTCGCCAACTCGCCCACTCCAGCAACCATCAACGGCAAGCCTGCCACTGCAACTACTACTACTACTACTACAACGACTACTACGACTACCACGACTGCCGGCGGCAACGACTTCCTCCCCTCGACGCCGCCGACCCAGCACGCCGCTCCCTACCAGCTGCTCTCCACGCCCACACCTTCCCAGCCCTTCAACTTTGCAGACTTTGTCAACGTCACTCCCAGCCCGGCCCAGCGAGGGTGGTCCGCCTCCAACGGCACTTCTCGCACTCCGCTCACCACCGCCGCCGCCGCTGCTGCTGCCTCTGCCTCTGCCTCTGCCTCTGCCTCTGCGTCCGGGGGAGCTGTCTCGCGCACTCCTCGCACTCCTCGCACCACCAAGGATGTCCGCAAGAGACTCAACTTTGACGCCCTCGCGCCCCCCAGCCCCGTCAGAGGCTCGGCCAAGCGTCACAGCACTTCTACCACTGCTGCTGCTGCTGCTGTGTCTACTAATTCTAGTGCCGCCGGCCTGGCACTCCAGCTCGGCGAGGAGTTGCCCATATAGTCTTTTCTCTTTCCTTCTCTTACGTCCTTTCGTTCGATCTACTTTGTGATGCAGATACGTGAACCAGATACACTCGGCGGTCTTGTTTGTCAGGTTATTATTTCTTCCCTGTCTTGCTGTACAACACCTTTCCACCCTTTGCGCTTCTCCATCTTCCTCTCTGCCATCTACTTAATATCCCTATCGCCTTATCTTCCTTCTCTTCTTCCCCCGACTGTACGGTTCCCTTGATCTACCACGTCCGTCACTCTGTCTCGAGTACTCTGCCCAGCCTGTATGTATGTAGCCTGTAGCCTGTAGCCTGTAGCCTGTAGCCTGTCCCTGACTAGCCATGACTGAATACTTCGACTTTTTCTTCTCTTCCTTCAATAAATGACTTCATCGTCTTTTCTTTCTCTCAATTAAAATCTTCTTTTTCCTTGTTTTCGCGTCAAACTCTAAATCCAATATCGCGTCAGGCGCGTCGACGCGTCAGGTTCGCGTTGCTTATGTAAGAAGTATATTTCTATGTGTCTTATGTAATATTTTCATTACGTCATCATCAACTCTTGGTCTCGAAGAAGAATCAAAACATTGAAAGACAGACATTGAAGGCATTGGATATTGCAATTGAACAAGAGAAGACGAAGATGATGCGATGACTCTGAGGTGAGATCGAGTTTGTCAGCATCGTTTTAGATACGAGATGGACCACCCCGGCAACACGCACCATTGGACGGCCCCGGCACTTAGACTCTCCTGCTAGCTATCCATGTGGACTCCATCGACTGGCGCGGAGAATATATCAGAGCGTAAGTGGTACGGAGTCCGTCCATCGATCGTGATCGTGGGGAGCACGGGACTGACTCATGCCCGGGTTATTTTTCTATTAGTGTATATAAAAGGGCGTACGACCCTCCTCGAGCCGGAGTTGGGAATCCTCGACGTCGCACAGCTCCATCTCCCGCGCTTACACAGAGACACACCGTCCAACACATCCAACAAACACCACCGTCATGCAGCACCAGAACCAGGTCCACGATCCGAGCCAGCTCAAGCTCATTGGAGCCTACACCCGCTACTCCAGTGCGTCTCCCCAGATCATTGAAATTTGCAAAAAAAAAAAAAAAAAAAAAAATACAGAAACACATCAAATAGTCCGTCTACTAGTCCGCCAACCTAGCCTAACCTTGCGCTTCTTCTTTCTTCCCCAGGCTGGACTGCTCGTGTAGCTGTGCTGCTCGATTACTACCGCATCCCGCACGAGTCCGTCCTGCTTTCTCTCCCAGAGGTACGGAGTACCACCCTCTACATCCACATCGTACACAGCGTACAGCAGTATACCCCCCCTCCCCCGCCTCTCTCTTACACGTTACTCTAGTCCACCAAACTATCGAAATCCGGCCTGGTGCCCGCGCTAGAAGTGCCCTCTCTGGGACCCCAGTTCCAAATAAACGACTCCCTCGCCATATGCGAATACCTCGCCGAAGCATACCCCGACCTGCCCCTCTGGCCCAAGGACGCTGCGTTGCGCACCCAGGCCCGCGCTGCAGTTGCACAGATGCACTCTGGCCTCTGCACCGTGCTACGTGCTTCTTACCCCACCAATGCTCTGGCAAAGTACACCGGCGCCATACCTCTGTATGACGGCGCGGCCAGAGAGGTGGGGAACTGTCTGAAGCTCTGGGGGGAGAGCAGACGGCTCACGCGCGCCAGGCTTGCCGAGCTCGGCCAGGAGGACAGCGACGAGGGCTTCTTGTTTGGGCAGTTCGGCATTGCGGATGCCTTCTTCTGGCCGGTCTTATGGGTGGGTTACCCCGCCCCTTTTTTTTTACTATTAATTTCTATTATTGCAGTGGTAAGTCTGACTGATTTGTGCGTCAGCGTTTCCGATCTTATAATCTGCCTCTCACCGGTGCTACCCCAGAAGCTCTCGAGTGGATGAAACGTATGTGGTCCCATCCCAAGATCAAGGAGATTGTCCATGGATACTACCTGCAAAAGGATCGTTCTGAGACTACCATCTCGCACTACGATGATATCTTCAAGGGTAACCCTGACATCCAGTTTGGTTGGTTCCCCGAGGACTGGGAGTTCTCTGCGTAGTCTTACCCCCTTTTAGTAAAAAGTGTCAGAGTTGAACGCTTGATCACTATGTAGATATATATATTCGGCTAGACTCAAGTTAACCAGTGTTATATGTCAATCTAAAATTAGGTGTAGTCTTCATAGAAGCGCTTCGTTGATATATGACATGATAACCCAATGGCCAAAACGGGCAGTGCATCAAAGAACTATATTGCATAGAGGCATGCTAGCTCACAGTAGTGATACACTTTTTGAATAGAGAAGATATACAACCGAAAAAAAGTCCAACTCAGTGAGAGGAGGTAAATCCCAGCAGCAGAAATCAAACTTTTTGGTTGATGCTTTTTTGTCCCAATTAATCCAGCCCATCAAACACTTTGATAGCATCTCTCGCCGTGTCTCTTGCACTAGCAGTTCGCCCCCGTAACAATCCGTCCGTCAACTTTCTCAAAGTTGTCAAATGCACTGGGAGGAGCTTCGTAGTGAGCTCCCGTCGGCCCCAGACAGTCCTCAATCGTATGCACCTTGTCCTGCCTCATCTGATCAATCACCTTGAGCTCGAGCTCGCCCTCAGTAGTGAAGCCAGTGACCGTCTTGTCTTTCACCACAGGCTCTTCTTCGGGGTTCTTGACGCCGGCCAGTATAGCTGGGCCATGACACACGGCTGCCACGACACCGCCGCGGTTGTAGACGTCCGAGGCAATGGCCTGTAGGTGCTTTGCATGAGGGAAATCATAGCATGCCCCATGGCCCCCAGCAGCGAAGAACAGACCGTACTCATGCGGAGACAGGTCTCCGGCCTTGAACATCTGGCTGTTAAGCTTCTTGTTGAATGGGTCGTTGGCGTTGTGCAACACCTCCTCGTCCTCTTTGTTTAGAAATTTTTTCTCCAACGAATGCTCGTCAAAGGCAAAGGTCCCGGTTTCCGAGGCAATGTCAATATGGAACCCGGCTGATTGCAGTTCATCAAACGGGTGTAAGGCCTCAGAAAAGAACAGCCCTGTCTTCTTCCCGTCGGGGTAGAAGTGAGGGTTGGCGCTGGTAACAGCAATCAAAGCTTTCCGTGGCAAAGGCATATTTTTGTTTGTTGTCTTTCAAAAATATGGTCTAACTTATGTTGACAGTAGTGTGTGCTTTTCATGGAGAAATCGGGGTATATATAAATCTGCCATCGAGAATGCCATTTATCCTGCATGCTCCCACGGAGACTAATGACGGTCTAGTGGCAATCCCTATTTTTATGCAACGGACTGGTTGTTGCTATATTCACGGCCTCGCTTATTTGGCCCTCTGTATGACGTAATAGGTGCTAGATCTATATACACCAATATCAACATTCGACATTCCATCCTCCCTTCCAGTGGGTGCGTTGCCCGTGTGGAAAAGTGCCTGTATAGTGATAGGTCTATATGGTGTGTCTTTGGTCAAGGAATATGTCAAGTTCAATCCCCAGCCTGAGGCTCCGCCACCTTTGCTCTCTCCGTCTGCTTGTCCCAAAGATGGGCAAGATAGTCGGATGTGCTAGCTTCATCAATGCTCTTGTCCTCTCTCACTCTCAAGAACCTTGGGAATCGAAGGCTTAGGCCCCGTTCATCACTAACCAGTCCTATGGCTGCAGTATACGTAGGACTCAGTGTGATATCTGCAAAAGCCATCTCCCACACCTCCTGAGGTTGAAACCAAACCTCTGGCTCGCCACAGTACTCCACGTAGCTCGGGCGTGAGATTATATTGTCGCTGCCTTCCGCGTACTTCTCCTTATTCGCTTCATAAAACTTATCAGTGAAACCGGACATGCACTTGGTAACTGCCTCGAGAGAGCCGGTTTCAGGGTTTCGCACAGCAAGAAGTATCGGAGACCACCATTTGGCCTTTCGACCTTGGCCATGCCATGCCGCAATGGGAATCAAGTCTAAGGTCTCTGAAGAAGCACTATAATCCTTCTTCACTTTAAGCCAAGACTCGAGGCGTTTGTCCGGCTCGTATGTTGATAGCAGCGGCCGTTTTCGGTTTCCTCGCTGCTTCTCGGCGGTATCCGTAGACTCTTGTTGCTGATCCTCTTCAGGAGGCAGTAATTCACCATCACCAAGAGCTGCCGCGGTATCTGCTGCCTGTAACAGGCGATCAACTGGCTTATCATCCAGAACTTTAACCATTATGCCCTCGCATTTTACTTGAAGGGCATCGTTGAAAAAGTTCAGGACAGCGTCTGAATCAGATGGGAAAGCATCTATACTCTTTACCCATGTAAATCGATTCGGGATCTCGACGAACAAACTCCTAAGAAGTTCACGTCTTTCCCGAAATGTTCTGTCAAGTAGCGGCTGTCCATTCAGGTACATCAAGTCAAACGAGAATAAGCAGACATTGACTTTGATACTACCTATTTCCACATTTTTCTTCGCCCGATTCGTGAGTGTTTGAAAAGGAAGCAATTCTCCAGTTTCGTTATTAACAGCAACCACTTCACCTTCCATAATAAAGCTAGAAACAGTTCCAGATCGAATCTCAGGGACAAGAGACACTAAGTCCGGGTATTTATCCGTCATGAGTTCTAAATGGCGAGAGAAAATGGACACTTTCCCCGCTGCATCACAGTGTACCTGCGCCCTTTGCCCATCATACTTGTACTCGCAGGTAAAGGATCGGCCATGTAGCCTGGTTAACATTTGCGGAAGGTCTCGGGTAATACTACCCAACATGGGTAATAAAGGAACGTGCAATGTGATGCCGCATTTCGTAAGAAGTTCAGCAGAAACTCCATTTTCCAATAAACATGGAACAATCATGTTGTAGTTAGGATGCCGGGCATAGCATGCTTTGATAGTCTCTTCAGCCTGAGAGTAGATACTTGATAGATCCTCTTTACTCAAGCTCATGAGCTCTGCGCGCGAACGTATGGGAAATGTGGCTGCCGGTGGTTTGGAGTAGAGAAACGCTCTTGCAAGTGCAATCAAAATCGTTGTTTTAACGGCTCCAATCCGGAGATGTTGAACAAGTGTACGGACGATATACCGGCTCTCCTCTGCACCTCGCGTGTCTTGGAGCAATTTCTCAACAATTCTTTGCTTTGTCTCCTGACTCCCTGTGCCTTTGCTGTTCGCAATTTTCATCAGCGCATCGTATACACTTCTGATAGTCAACGGCTTTGGTCGTCTCAGCGTAAATGACTGCTTTTTTTTTGCTTCAAAAGCCACATCGCCAGCATCGCCATGTTTGTTGTAAAGTGATTTAAGACCCTGGTTATCCAACCCATAAGCTCTTTTCAATGCTTTGGATATGGCAGACCCTCCTAGCCCCAATTCAATTGGCACGTATGGCGGAGCAAAGGCATTTGTTGCCAACCACACCGCCGGAAGTAGGCTCTGTGGATCACCAACGATTATAAGCCTAAGAACGTTCACAAGTATATCAACTATTTTGATCCTGCTCTGTGTTCCATTGACAAGAGAAAAGGCGCGAGCTAAAATGGCATACGACGCTTTCCCGCCTTCCGCATCCCAGTGTGCCTGAAGTTTTTCTTTTTGTTCATGCGGATCGAATTCCAACGGACTAAGATCAAAAGGCAATGAAAATGATATGGTATCCTCAGCCGTTGAGGAGCTCTGTAGAGATAGTATTCCCTTGGGCTCATTCACTTTTCCGGGCGTAAGAGCTGGAGTATCAGGTAAGCTGCCTTTGTCGGTGCTTGAGCTAGCAACGGCTACTTCATCAGACGCTTGCGGTTTTTCTTCCTGAAGGGTTTCCGTTGCTCTATGACCAGGAGTAGAAGATCCAGAGTCGTCCTGGCTTTTTTTATTCCATTCCGTTTGAAGCTTCTGGGCCAGTTGCTCGTCCGTAAGCTGATGCTCGGTGCTAGGGATTTGCTGTGACGTTGCTTTCCTTCCTGCACTAAAATATGAAGCAATGCTCCGGGTATTCTGCGGTGCCCTAGTCGAATCAACCTTTCTCTTCTTTTTTAACGGACCGGCCATTATAAATGCTTTTGCATTCTGGTCTTGGCTCTCCTGGGGAAGTGATGCCTGATGGAGAGGCTGACATTACGATGTTTAGCAAATCGTGTTGATCAAGATGGGGCGTTGTTGATGCCAAGACCGAGTGACAACGGGGTTTTCACAAGTAACTAAAAGATAACACCAAGTGATAACCAACTATCAGCCAGCTTACTGCTTTACCCTCTGGCGTAGGAATCCGCCTGTATAGGAAATATGGCAGGTAACTTATCAGCGGAAGATGCGACAAGACTTGTTGATTTCGTAAATGATAAGATCCAGAGCATTGAAGACCTACAGAGTTTGGATACTCTTCTTCAGAGCCTCCAAGAGCAGCAAGATATCCAGAGACAGCAGGTAAGTGGCCCCCTTACGTCGATCGCAGTAGTTACTCGGCTAATACCATTGCATTTTCTAGCTACGGGAAGCGGAGGAGATCCTCAAAAATGCCACGAAGGCTTCGAAGGAACATGCGGAGGCGGTTCGAAAAGAGGCAGAGGCATTCAAACAACACCAGGCTGACATAGACCGTCGCTTACTGGTTGTAACGCAATCGGAACACAGTGATGAGGCGGTTCGCAAATTTGAAGATAGCATTGCTAGATTACAGAGACTCGATGTGTCTCAAGGCTATCTGGAGCTGTTAAGCTCTGTTGATCAACTGAAGTATGTATTCATGTTCTCATGATCCTAAGAAACAAGGTTAACGTGTTTGTAGTAAGGATGCGATGAAAACCATGAAATCATCCCCGCACGATGCCTTGCGATCATATGCGCAGCTTCGTTCCATCGAGACGTCTATATCAACTGGCCAGGACACTGTTGAGGGAGCAACTCCGTACCTCCTTGACTATGTGACGAAAGTCTCGGGAGGTTTAAAAGACTCCATTCGTGTGGAATATACGGATAAATTACAAAATATTCTGGACAAAATGAAGTGGCCCATGAAGGAACTCCCAACGGAATCGTTGATTGATGAATGGATGCGTTGGTGTGATCTACTCCTAGAGTTCCAGGAACCGTGAGTATATAAATCAAACCTTCAACATGAAAATATACTGAAAATCTGACCCCTGTAGTGATCTTACGAGTGTCACAATCAAAAAGGGCCCCGGAGACCAATCCGAGTTGCCGATTCTACTTCCCCTAGAAGTCATGTCTCGGCCCCTAGAGCTTCGGTTTAAGTATCACTTCAGCGGCGACAGACCTACAAATAGGCTAGACAAGGTATGCCCATATTCCCACAATAAACCATGGAGTTGACTTTCATTAACCTGCCCCCAGCCAGAATACTTCATGTCCCATGTATTGGATTTGATCAACACTCATGCCGAGTTCTTTTCCACATATTTGCAACCAATATTGAATAAGAGAGCACTCAATGGCACCCCATTGCTCCGGTCACTGTACTCGGATGCCGTCTCGTCATTTATATCCTCCCTTTTGCCAATGGTACGGCAAAAAGCCTTGAGCTTACTGCCCACGGTATCCAAGCACCCGCAAGCTTTCAGCCATTTAATTCATGAATTGATGAATTTTGATAATGAACTCAAGTCGTCCTGGTCTTATCCATCTAATGCAATGGAAGAAAATGCATGGAAGGGAATAACCTGGGAAATATTAACAAAAGAGAGTTGGTTCTCTGAATGGCTTCAGGTAGAGAAGAATTTCGCCCTGGCAAGATACCAAAGTATCATTGATGCCGAAGATAGCGGTGAAATTGATTATGATGGAGTAGCACCAACAGCAACCAAGCCGACAAAAGCAGCCCTCCGAGTTAATGATCTTCTGGAGAACGTCACGGAACTTTACCGACCATTGTCGTCTTTTAGCCAGAAGCTTCGATTTCTAATCGATATCCAAATCGCCATCTTTGACTTATTTCACGGAAGGCTACATTCTGGCCTAGAAGCATACCTTGCTATGACATCCGCCATAGGACGCACGGTACAGGGTTCCTCAGCCGGCCAACCAAATCTAGATGGAGTCTCGGGTCTAGAAAGACTATGCAGGATATTTGGGTCTGCCGAATACCTTGAGAAGAAGATGCAAGACTGGGGAGATGACGTTTTCTTCCTCGAACTTTGGTATGAGCTACAGGACCGGGTAGCAAGGCAAGGTCAGACCGGGAAGCCGGTGGCCGGCGCGCTATCGGTGTCAGAGATTGCAGCACGAACCTCATCGTCGGTCACCAATAACAACCATGATCACACCAGCGATGCAGCGGAAGGTGCTCTATTCGATGAGACCGCCGCAGCATACCGCCGCCTTCGAATGCGATCTGAATCTATAATCCAATCTACAATAGCCTCGAACGTTCAGGCTTCCCTACGGCCGTATTATCAGGTGTCTACTTGGGCTTCTCTGCGCTCGTCTTCTGATGACTCTAGCACTCCTACCACACCCTCACTGGACCTTGTGCAAACCCTACGCCTTCTCACTGCTGACTTTTCGTTTCTCTCCCGTACGCTAGCTATTGCCCCAAGACGCCGCGTTGCTAACCACGTCCTACTCGCCATTCAGACGTACATTTGGGATAGCATACTGATGCGGAACTCTTTCTCTACTTCTGGGGCGGCACAACTCTTCGTCGATATCTCCAATATCTGCGACACGGTGGATACTGCTATAGGTGTAAAGGCTGGTGAAGAACTCGCAGCTCGTACGATGAAAAAGTTACGGGACGGGTTATTCGTCCTGAACCTGGAAATTAAAGCAGGAAAAGATCAACCGCCAGACGCTAGTGATGCTGCTGGTACGGCGCTTGGTTTATGGGAAGCTGAAAAGAGGCTCTTTGCCAACAATGAAAGCGCGCGAGGTGTTTTATCCGAGCTTTGTATAGATACCTTGACTGAAGCTGATGCAAGATCAGTTTTGGAGAGAAGAGTTGAGGTTCGTAGTTAGACATACCCAACAATACAACTTAAAAAACTCGCTGCATCTGTTATATTCAGCAATTTTCAGTTCATGAAACTTTTTATATTCTATATTTCACAAATCTTATATACACCGAAGGTAAGAATGCCGACACTTTTGGAAACAATAAAGCCAGGTATACATGGTAGGTACATCACAGAAAGGCTTCAAAGCACAAAATCCGAGGCAGCCGGAGCACCTTGAGGCCCACGACCCATCTCAAGAGGGTGCTTTGGTCGCTGGCCAGGTGCTGGAGCCTGATTCGGATTTACAAAGTTCCCGTTCAACTCTAGTCCACGCTGCTTCCTAACAGCTTTGGCACCCAATTGCAAAACTACTTCGACGAGTCGTTCAACTGTTTCTTTCTTAGTGTGAAGATTGACGACACATCTAAGATATTTGCCGTCTCCTTCAACTTGGGCTGCGGCTGGTGGTGCATAGTCAACCATAAATCCTTGTTCGATCAGATCATTCGCGATCATGGAAGTAATCTCTCCGTTGAGTTTTCCACGTTCTGCCTCATCTGCCACTTTGTCAGAGCTGTGGACCATCTGTTTGAATGGTGCATAGAAGAAACATATTTGAAAGCATGGTGGTGGATTTTCACTAAGGAGAATTAAATCCGGGGATTCTGATATGAGGTTGCAGAGATGGACAGCAACTTCGCTTGCAGCATCAATTCGTTCTTCGTATCCTGATGAGCCGATGTAATTCCAGTTTAGGAACATTTTCAGGGCATCACCTCGACGGCCGCATTGTAAAGTCAAATCACCCAAATCCCATACCTCAGAGCCATCAGACACATCGTTATGGAATAGATATCCTGCAGGAAGCGTGTTTGATTCGTGGAATTGAGTCATATCGGCACCCAGTAGGAATGAGCAAGTCAATGGTACTCCAAGCATTTTATGAGGGTTTATGGCAATACTATCAGCCATATGTGACCCTTCAAGCTTGTGTTTCTGGCGGTTAGAAAAGATAAAAGCACCGCCCCAAGCACCGTCAATGTGGAACCAGATTTTATGTTTGCGGCAAATTTCCGCGATTTCTGTAAATGGATCAAATGTCCCTAAAACTGTAGTCCCGGCAGTGGCATTGACGAAAAGTGGAGTTTTACCATCGTCCTTTGCTTTCTGAATCTCCTCATCAAGCTTCTGTGGAATCATTCGTCCTTCACGGTCGACAGGTACACTGTGAACCGCGTTGCTTCCTAGACCAATCATTTGCGCAGCTTTTTCAATGCTGTAGTGCCCATGAGCACTGGTAAATAAAACAAATCGATGGTCACCTGTTCCATTCTTCTTGGTATCGGGGAATAGAGTGTTCCTTGCTACAACGATTGCTGTAGTGTTGGATGCAGATCCCCCCTGGACGGAGATTCCGCCGGCGTTGAGTCCTGTAAGCCCGAAAAGCTCAGCAAACCGTCTTGTGGTAACTTTTTCGAGGACCGTCAATGCTGGGGCCGACTGGTAGACGTGTACATTGGCATTCAATGTCCCAAGAAGTAACTCTGCGGCCAACCCAGGAGCGTTTGGTGATGAGTAAAGCTTGTCGAGAAATCCTTGCTGCCATGTATTGACGGAATACTTGAGAAGGTCATCAACAATTCGAACAAGCCCATCATGCCCTTGTCCTGAGCTTGTTAAGCCTTCACTAAACACTGCTTTGAGCTCTTCCGGTGGCTTAAAATCCAGAATCTTTGGCCGTGAATCATCATTATACTTCTGTCCCGGTGCCTGGGACGCGCGATCTGCTTGCTCAACAAATCCAACAACGCGTTCCTGGACGGAATTCAAGACCTAAAAAGACTTCCTTTAGCTAATTATTCTGGTAATTTAATGCCTATACAAATGAGTACAAGGCCGGAGCTGATGCCACGATGGAGAGACCACTGGGAGACTCACTTTCCGCACTTCTTCTGGCCGCTCCATTATATCGTATTGGAGACACACTGGACTCGTTTCAGACAGTCGAGAGGGCATAGGGAGGGTGGTTTCATGTTGGATGTGGCTGTGATCTGATATATACCTGGATTGCTACATAGGTCTATTTGCTGTATCACGTGAGTAAAGTTCCAGCCAACAAGATTTGTCATCGACATTACGTAAAGATAAACCTGGCGTGACGTCATAGACGCTGCGGCTTTTTACTGCGCTTTCAGAAGGCTGCTCGGCGCCGACAGGGCCTGCTTCTTGCCGCGAGAGCCTTGTTCCCTGCTGTCTGGCTTCTCCTGTTGCTCGGCTCTTGCCGCATATCGCGCTCTGGCGAGGTCGAGCTTGCTCTTCGCTGGCTCGGCGCTCAAATCGGCAGTTGAAGCTGAGACTCTAGTGTTGTCTAACCCCTTCGCTCTTGACATCCATTCCCCCCGTTTTCTCTTGTACAAATCCATCGACCAATTCCTCCATACTGCCCTACCCAAGAACGAGTCGCGAAGGGCAGGTTCGTTGTCCGATAGTTCTTGTGCCAACCTTTGCTTGATAAATACCAGGTCAGAGGTGGCATCCCAGAGCGCGTCGGCAACGTGAGAGCCACTGCTGTCCAGCGACAAGGCACACATCTGTCCATAAAACCGAGGTAAAAATTGTCGACGAAATTGAGTATTAGACTTGGAAGGCTTAACAGCCTCTTGAAGGGCACGAGACGCTGTTGAATTCTTCGCAATTTGTATTAGAGTCTCGACCGGCGCAGCAAGAAAGCCGGTTTGTATCATTGTTGCAAGCTCGCCAGATGCCTGTAGCATGGATTGTGCCAAAAGCGATCCATGGAGATGTTGAGCAGAAGGTGCAGCCTTTGATTTCACTGATTCAGCATCCTTGACTGTTGTCTCAACCCCTAGAATCGTCTTGAGGCGAACAAGGCCATCTTCGCCATATGCTGATTCCAATGCCTTGGCCAATGAAGTAGTATCAGCACCCCGAACTGTTGACCGGTCTATTATTGTTTTGATAACATTAAGCCTTGACCGTTGGACTAGTGAAGGTATTTCAAGAAGAATACTTTCAATTGCTGATTGGAGATCTTCTCTGCTCACTCTCTCAAGTACTTTGATAACAACATATGAAGCTATCTCGTTTCGCGCCAAAGAGCCGATCCTTTCGCGAATGATTGTTTTGTAAAATGTTTTGAAGAATTTTCCTGGAGCAACTCGAACAACCGTTTCTAGTAGTCGTGACCCAACTGGATCATAGAACAGACTGTTTAGAAAATTCACACCCTCCTCCTTTGTTTCAAGGGTATCGTCTGGTATAAGCCTACGGAAAACAGAAGATTTGTCCTTAACCTTTTCTTTCCCCATACACCCAAGTTCTATTGAAAGAATGACTTGAAGAACAGGGCTTCCGATAGGATGGGTGGCAAGTGCCTGAAGATAGGTAGAATTCAGGCCAGCACTTAGATCTGATATCATTTTTCTTAAAGTGTTGTTGAACTCCGCAGGAACTTGTCTGCTTTCCCTTATCGTTAGCTCTGCCTCAGCCGTTGACGTGAGAGAATCCACGTTTTCTTTTTTCCGGCTGGCAAGTATCCTCGCATTTGATTGACCGGCAAGTGGTTCACCGGCCAATATAAGGAGCAAAACTCTTATCGTATGCGAAGCAAATGACTCCGTAAGCAGATAACCCCAATTCCCTTCTAGCTCTGAGACGACACCTAGGAACAAATCCACAGCAGATTTTTGATTCATAGGTTCATCCTTTCCCCCATCCTCTCCATTGGTTTCTGTGGCTTGTCTTCTATCTTTCTTCTTATCTTTGGGCTTTTCCATCTCGGACGTCACAATTGGCGCGGCGCGTATGAACAAACACTCGCAACAATGGCTCGCGAAGCGATGTTGAACAAGGTGTAGGAAGTGGCCTGTGAATTTCTCGAATAGAGCCTTCACCTGGGCTGGAGTAGACATTGCAATCAATTTTTCCATGAGCCTGGAGCAAGACTGACTGCAAGCAATCTTTAATTCCTTTCCTTTGGCTTCAGTGTAAACGCTTTCAATGAACAGTCGTTTGTCGTCATCGTCCTCGAATGAGTTGAGTTCCAATGTCTGACTGGCTTTTGAGAAATACTCCTGCTCCTCCGTGTCAAGAAGCCCATAAAAAGGGGTGTCATCTTCCTGTCCTTGTTCTTGCTCCCTTTCGGTATCGTGGGTATCGAGGGGAATGTAGTCGTCTCCTGCTTGGGCATCGTTGTCTTCGTTCGCAGTTCGCTGCCGTTTTGGTGAATCTGACACTTCTTCATCTTCTCTTTTGCGCTTCGATTGAGACTTTTCTGCCCGGCGGCCTCTTTTCTTCTTTTCGCGAGGCATGATTCTTATATGGCGACGATTTTTTTTCTCAATAATAATATTCTCCTCTTTCCACTCAGCTTCTTGAATTCCTCTTTTTTTTTGGATTTTCGAGTTTAAGGTTTGATACTCAAGCTCCATCCATAGGTTTGAATACAATCACGTGATTTACCAAACTCTCATGTTCCGTCTCTACCGCTCAAAAAATGATTCAGAATTAACACCAGGGCCGGGAGATAGGCGATGAAAATTCCATCCACAAGCTATATCGGATACCTTCATTCCGACCCATGATTTCCCCCTTCCAAAAATTAAAAAAAGGTGATCTCGTTGCCGTCAGGTTCCTCCAAAGTAAACTGTCGATAACCCCATTGCTTATCCTCAATAGGCTCGGTAATCTTGACTTTCCCTTCCTCAACCAGAATGTTGTAGTATTCATCTAGCTCCGTGGTTCCCAGAGCAATCATTGTCGAAGACGGGTGGAATATTTCCCAGTTGTCTTCACCGGCACCTCTATCATTTGCTTCATTTGGCCCCGAAAATGGCAACTTTGTTTGAAAGGAGTATATATTGGCATCCGCCTTTTTCCCGATAAATACTGAGCAAAATGTCGGGGCGGTATTTGCAGTTCCTCCGAGCGTAAAGTAGAGTGATTTCGTGTAAAATACAATAGTCCGGGGAATTGAGGTACTGCAAAATTGGGGGATAATCTTCCATGCAGATAGTGAACATGCCGCCATGGCTTGTGATCTTGTGTATTTCCGTTTATTGAGCAGGTATATTTGATGGGAAAACGGGCATTTGACTTGTGTAAGGTGTTTCCCGTGGATTATGATGCGTTTGTTTCCTGGCCCAAAAAGCAGGTGAGTCAATGTTTGGAAATTAGGCAGCAGCCTTCATAAAATTACCTTAGTTATTAACCAACAAAACAACTGATTTGGCGACAATCCTCTGTCCACGTCGTACTCACCCCCAAAATCGAAACAATAAGAAAAAGAACCCAATAATGGATGATTCATTCCTAGCGATATTCTTATACCAGTCTAAATATATCATACATCTAAATTTTAACCAGGTGGAGTGAATTTTCATTAGCAACAGCGTCGAGGAATCCGCCTACATCTATACCGGAAGAATTCAAAATATGCTCAAACACAAAATCAAACCACTTTGCTTCAGGGAGGTCAAAATATTGGAAAAACCCCAAAGAAACAGTGACTGGGAAAGCGAACATGGTCACTCCGATCGTCATCAATTCTGGAGTAAGGAAATATTCCAGAGATCGAGCAACGTTGACAGCGATCACACGTAGTTCAGAAGCGGATAATGGCAATTCAGGCATGCGATATGCAATCCCGTCACTACCATCCAGGTATGAGTTGACTATCGGCTCATTTATTTTATGCCAGGATCTATTCTCCCGTCCGGACACAAACTGATATATCAACCAAAGGTTGTTGCAAATCAGCAGCTGAGCAGTCCAGTAAAGCATCTGGAGATGGGCAGTCTCCGTATCAAGAAAATGAATGTAAGTGGAGAATATGGGATGTTCTCTAGTGAATTCCTTTCCTTTTTTGATCGAGATCATGGAGGGCATTTCCCAATGTAGCAATCCTCTACCATCTTGAAACGAAATATTCCACAGGCTCAAGCTTTCCAACAGGTCACAACATTTCCTGGAGACTTCTTGAACTCTGACCGGAAGATAGGATGAGTGATCGTCTCGAACCATGTCAATTTCTTGTAGAATGGATGGTATTGCAGCTAACAGTTGTAGCAATTGGTGGCTGTGCTGATTTCCAGCTTGTAGCCAAGGTAAACACGTCCATTCGGGGTCTGCAAGAAAGGACGGATGTCGAGAACCGATAGCGCGGATTACCTATTCGTTAGGATGTGTTAACAGCGTACAACGAACTACAGTAAAGGGGATATAGTACTCACAGCAAAGTAGCGGAGACCGAGAAACAGCTTTTTCTTGAAGTCCGTCCATTTCAAAGAGTTCGGTTGTAATTTTATGAGCCGCGTGGCACCATCAGTATGGCTTGCCCAGCCAAGGCCTCTCATTGGAGAACCTTCAATAGCCTATATTGTTGATAAAATTAGTAGATGAAAGAGCGAATAGCTGTAGATTGCGTTCGGCAGTACCTCATAGAGGATTAAATACATAATCCCTGCCAGTGATTCGTCATCCAAACATTCTGAGTTGATATTGAGGCGCTGGTATAATTGCACTAAGGTAGAGGAGTAGAACTGCTGGCTTTTGTACACGATCCTTGAATCGTGGGATAGTTTACCAACTCTTGCGAGGCCCAAGGCAAGCAATGCATTGCGTAAGATCAGATTCTCATAATTACTCTTTGACGTTGTAACCATCCAACCAGTGAAGCATGATTGGCTTAAATTTTCCGTATTGCTGCCAATATTCCCGAGAAAAATGTTCAAAAACAATCCGGGACATGACCCAACAAGAACCGATTTTGACAGGGTCTCCGCGTGACTGGTCAATGCTTGTCCAGTGGTATTGCAGATAACTGTGCTGCTTTTTCGAAACTCATTTGAGCATGGCACTACTTTATCTAGGATTGTGTGGACTTCGCTTTGCTTGCATGGCTGGTTGGAAGTATGGATAAATTTGAGCTCCCGCCCATAACCGCCACATGGAAGGCCTAATCTCTTGCACTGGCCACATGAAGGCCGCTGCATATCACACTAAAATTCTTCGTCAGCTTGCAGGTACCTAATATAAGGATTGAGATATCATAGTACATACGCCTTTCTTTCGTTTTCGGCAAGTGTTGCATCCCGCAGATATTTTTGGCATATTGCTTCACTGTTTAGGTAAAAACGCAAGTACCACTTTCACTATCCTTTTGCGGCGGCAGCAAGGGAAAATAAAGTGCCATCTTTCTTGCATTTATAATAATGTAATGATGAATGAAGGTGGTAATTGCGCCAGGTGTTTAGGTGTACGAAGTTATTTATTCCTTTTTTGGAAATCTATTGCGCGACGCATATCACGTGACATAAGCGCTAATTTAAGGTTAGACTTAAACCTGGAGCTTGTGGCTAAAAATAGAACTACTGCTCTCTCTGTCGTTCCAGCTTCAGTCAGTCGAAGCTCAAGCTAAATAAACATACGTTGGCCCATTACGTAGTACTGTGTATGGCGCAAAAGATGTCTAGGGGTAGCCGTAGGGGAGAAGAAGGTAGTAGCTTATATTCATTTCAGCTTCGTTTGAGAACTGGAATATAAAGGGTTTGGGAAGAAACGGAATGGAGAGGAATAAAACAAAAATTCTACAGAGCAAATATTTCATCTTCACAAGTGGGATTCAAAGTCCAATACCAAGCTCCCTCTATTTAAGATTGAAAAAATGACTGACGCTATCAAGTTGCTCTTTCGAAAGTTGTATCAACCAGTTGGATTTTCCAAGGGGTATAACTTCATTTTATGTCAGTGCTCAAATTTCAAGTCAATGTATCCATAGCTGATCTCAACATAGTTTTCGTTCTTGTCGGGGCGCTTATGGGATTTACCCTGGCGCGCTTCCAATACCTCAACGTCAGAGGCGATTTTTGCAAGAAAGGGAATGCTGCGCCAGGTGAATGCTTTTATTACCTCCAGCAAACTCGGTACCATGTTGGGATAATTCTTCACCTGGGATGTATTTTGCGTAAGCTTTTTTCCTCACTCTTGGATATTTCCTCACGTGGTTCATGTCCTATTGCAAGCTAACTTGAATTTATGCAGCCGCATCATTCCTGGTCTGCTTCCAATTTGTTCCTATAATCCGGCACAAATTTATCATGTGGCACCGAATTTCTGGGTATCTGATCATGCTTCTGGTACTTATTTCCAATGTTAGTGCCCTTGTTATCGCACGGCGGACATTTGGCGGCACATTGGACATACAAGGGGGGATAGGGACCCTTGTGCTAATGACGACTGTTGGGATTGGACTTGCTTATTATAACATCAAAAAGCTCCAGATTGATCAGCACAGGGCGTGGATGATCAGGTCATTTGTCTATGTATAACCCCTCACCATATATGCCCACTTCTGGTCACTACTAATATAAAGGTGGTAGATGGGAGCAATTATCACTAACAGGTTCATATTTTCCGCTGCTGCCGCAATAATAACTGCTATCGGAGGGTATAATGCAGTTTGGCCGTGTGATAAACTTGATTATACTCTCGGCCACAACGAGACCTTGAGCAAGTATCCGACCTGTTCAACGTTTTATGACGGATCAAATCCCCAACAACAGGCGATTGTTGTTGCAGATTTCAATGGTGGGGATGAGAATGTGTCGGCGGCTATAGGGCTCAATTTTGGAATGGCAATCTGGATTGCTATCTTCATCCACGCCGTCGGGGTGGAAGTATATGTATGTATAAGTCACCAAGAGACTGCCGGTGAAATATCTTGCTAACAGCACGATAAAGTTGCAGTTAACGCCTGGCGAGTCTCGACGTTTGCGACAAGTCTCTTATCGACGCCAGTTGGAAGCTGGATATCGCATGCCAGGCAAGGCAGGGCTAACTGCTGAGAGACTAGGTGATTGTAGTGGGATGCAAGAATCGTGAAAGTGCTTTTGGGGAAATCGATTAACGAGAAATTTCTCTGTGTTTATCTTTCCTCCAAGCGAAGGTGGAATGAAGCAAGCGCTAAGCCTAACTTGGTTAGTTAATAACCGACAGCGCTTATTTTTTGATGTGACATTTTCATGACATATGGCCAGATATTTTCTAGTTTAAAACGAGAATACTATTTCCTACCTTTTTTTTTTTTTTTTTTTTTCTTTTTTTATGAATTTCTTATGCTAAAATGTTGAAATGTATGTGGCTTTTATGTACTGACTAGACTCCCATAATTTCCATACCCCAGCAATGCCTTCTACGAAACAGCGAAGTGGCGCGCCGTTATCGGCACATAAACCAAGTCACCCCGTCGTAACACTTGATATACTTGTGAATGTTTTCAAGAAGACACTATTTCATCCGTTCATTGCTTGGTTGATACCCCTATGCCTTGTCGCCCAAGCCACACCATATTCCCATCCGTCGTTTCTCATTACTGCGGCATATGCTGTTTGCCTGAGCACATTTGTCGTGTTATCATATATAAATAGGCGCTTAGCCTATGGCCTGCCGCGCAATGTTGATTTTAAAAAGGAGGTTATTGCAGTTGCGGGCGGCGCTAGCGGACTTGGACTTGCAATAGCCGAAACATATGCAATGCGTGGGGTGAGCGTTGCAGTCTTGGATATAAAGGACTCAGCCGACGACGGTGGATACGTAAGATGGGATGAATTCCCCAGCCTAGAATATTATAAATGTGATATGAGCTGCAAGAATGAGGTTGAGGAGGTGGCGAAGAAAATAGTGAAAGACGTATGTCACCATATATCTTCTCTCTCTTTTTGGCTGCGATAATCTTGTCTATTGCGTCGTTTACTAAAATTATTATGGTCACAGCTAGGAAGGCCAACGATTTTCGTGAACTGCGTGGCAACAGCTATTAATGGTCTTCCCTTACTCTTTCTCTCAGACAAGGCGATAGAGACAACTATTAAAACAAACATTCTCTCTCATTTTCATGCACTCAAGGCATTCCTCCCAGGAATGCTATCCTCTCGGACCGGGGGTACCGTCGTCACTGTCAGCTCCGTTCTAGGCCACATTACTGCTGCTGGATTGTCAGACTATACCGCTTCAAAAGCCGCAGCGGCTGCAGTACATAGAACTGTAGATGCAGAGATACGTGTGCTGGGGGCCTCCAAGAAAATAAAAACCATTCTGGTCGAAACTGGACAAATCGCCACACCATTATTTGAGGGGTTGGAAACACCGAATAGTTTTTGGGCTCCGGTATTAGAGCCGGTTCAGGTGGCACGCGAAATAATATCCATGATCGATAGCGGAAATGGAGGAGTGATCAGAATGCCGGCTTACGCCACATTTCTGGGAGTTTATGCTATGCTCCCAGCATCCATTGAGAGGCTTGCCAGGTACCTAAGCGGTGTCGATTCAGCTGTTGCCAAAGCAACAATTTCAACTGCCGCGAAGAATAGGGAGCATGCAGCAGTGTCTCTGTCAACAAGTAGCTCTGAAGATAGCGATGATGATGACAGCGACAACTAATAGGGTATCCGCAATATGATATTCGTAATTCGGCAGAATCCGTGGGATCCCTTTTTAATATGCATCCCAGCATTGGGCCACTATTACTTTTCTGTTGCCAAGACCATCTTCTCTCTCTCGCTTCGACGCGGCTTCACTACCTTGCTATTCTTCCTCACGTTTTCTTCACGTCTCTTCAATGCCTTTATCTCTTCTCCCTTAATTTCACCGGCCTTCTTTATAGCTTTGGGCAGGTGTCGATGCCGTTTGATACGGCGGATTTCAGGCATATGAGCATACCGGCGTTTCAGGGCTTCATCATACTGCAGTTTTTGACGTTCTTTGGCACTCTTAATACCTCCTCTGGAGGAAGCATTTGACCTCCAAAGTCGTATATTACCATCATCGGATCCAGATAAAACATAGTTGTTGTCTGGGGTAAATTTTGCCGAGAAAACTCTGTAAAATAAGCAGACTTAGCACTCCATGGAGGAAAAAAGAAAAAGAAAAAGTAATGGATCTTCTTTCAGATTATTCTCACCTTTGCATTCTCTTTGTATGGTAAACATCCCTTGAGTGTCCTTTCTCCCGGTTCCAAAGTCTAATAGTACGATCATAAGATGCAGATACCAGTTCTTCACCAGTTGGACTGAATTCGACATCCATAACAGCTGCAACATGATCTTTGAGAACGTTCAAAGCGCGGTCCATCTTTCTCATATCGAAAATGTATATGTTATGATCTTCATTTGCGACAGCGAAGTTGAATGCTTCCATGGGGTTCCAAGATATTGCGTTTGAAGCAAGAGTCAATATCACCTTGGAGACTGGTGATGAGGTACGCAGGTCATACATCACAATGGATCTGTCAGTGGCAGTCGAGCCTAAAATGGATGTCTCAGTGCGGTTGAAGGCTAGGGACGTAATGGTATCTGTACTAGTTGGCCAGCTAAGAGTCTCCGAGGGAGTAGATGAAGGCCTTGAAAGGTCATAGATTGATATGACGGATGAAGCTACGGCAAATGATGGATGCGTCTCGTGGTGTGATACGCTGGTAAACGCGCCTTGACCAAGGTACGTTGCAAGCGGAGCGGACTCAGAGGGGGTATTGTATGGGTCGAAAAGTTTGACGGTCTTGTCACTGGCACACGAAAGGAGTTTTCTATCGGAAGTCCAGCACATCCCTTTAACAATATTTTCATGCGCCTGTGCATGCCATATTTCATCTCGTGTGGTCAAATCCCAGATCTTCACAACACCATCTCCGCTCCCGCTGGCGAACCGTTCGAGGGAAATTGGATCCTTCGCCATGCTATAAACACCATCGACATGTCCATTTCCTAGCTGCGCAATAAACGGGGAAGCAAACATTCTCTCCATCTTGACTGCATTAAGGGCTCTTGTATATTCGCGAGCTCGTTCAAACGGATGTTGGGATGGATCAATATTCCGCTGTACCCTTTGGACATTGGTACCAGGAGTCTGCTGTGCAGCAGCAGACCGAGAAAGAGCTTTGATTTTCTTAAAGATAGGTCAGTTGGGGCAATCCTCCAGCAAAATAATTTTTCTAGAACTCAACTTACCATTGTGACGGGTTAGCTTAAACACCTGTACATCTTTTTGATATCTCTTTTTCGGTCTTTTTATTTTCTATTTTTTATCGTCAACGCTGATTGCCCATGAAACCTTAAAACGGAGTACGGCGAAATAATATTCCACAAGGTCTCGATGGCCCTAGCTTCCAGTGACACTGGACATCTTTCGGGCAAATAAGCTGACGGTAACTCTTTGCATCCACCAAACCCCATATTCCAAGTGTTAACCTACGATATTCGAGAAGCCGGTGGTCGGACGTAGCTTGCTGGCTATTGTATCACCTGATAACGAGCTGCTTTATACGAATATATCTTCACCATGGCACCAGCCCCCAGTGAAGCTGGCCGGCTCGCGGAAGCAGAGGCAGCAGCAAAGACGAATCCTATTAAAGCCCAGAAGATATACCAAGAGGTTGTTTCTGAAGGCCCCGGCTCTAGTGAAGCTGCCTCCAGAGATTATGAAGTTGCGTTATTGGGCCTAGGAAAGATTTATCGCGACCAGAAGAAGCCCAAGGAGCTGGCGGAGCTTCTGAAAACCAGCAGATCTTCATTCTCTTCATTTGCAAAGGCCAAGTCGGCCAAATTGGGTACGTTATTGCTACATAATTGATAAATGAAGTCTACCTGTAATTAACACGTTTCATTCTCTCAGTCCGCCAGTTACTTGATTATTTCGCCGATATCCCAAATACCCTTGACATACAGATTACTGTCATCAAGTCGTGTATAGAATGGGCTGTCTCTGAACGACGATCCTTCCTCCGACAAAATCTTGAGACCAGACTCGTTGTGATATATATGCAGAAGCAGACATACTACGATGCCCTTACTCTCATCAACTCGCTTCTCCGTGAGCTCAAGCGCTTGGATGATAAGCTTGTCTTGGTGGAAGTCCAGCTACTCGAATCGCGCGTGTATCATGCCCTTGGCAACCAACCAAAAGCGCGTGCTGCATTGACATCCGCTCGAACTTCCGCAGCATCGGTTTATACCCCTCCCTTGCTACAAGCCGGCCTAGATATGCAGAGCGGAATGCTACATGCCGAGGATAAGGATTTCAACACAGCTTTCTCTTACTTCATTGAAGCGCTAGAGGGTTACCATGCTCAGGAAGATGCCGGCAAGGCAACATCTGCGCTTCAGTATATGCTTCTTTGCAAAATAATGTTGAATTTGGGAAACGATGTGAATACCTTGCTCTCTTCGAAGCACGCCATTCGATACGCCGGCACAAGCCTAGAGGCCATGAAAGCGGTTGCGCGTGCACACTCGAACAGATCTTTAGAAGAGTATGAAAAGGCTCTGTCTGACTATCGATATGAGTTGGGCGGTGATGTGTTTGTCCGAAACCACCTTCGAAGACTATACGACGCCATGTTGGAGCAGAACCTCATCAAGGTCATTGAACCATTCAGCAGGGTAGAAATTGCCCATATTGCGAAGATAGTGGGTTTGGACACACAGCAAGTTGAGAAAAAGCTGTCTCAAATGATTCTTGATAAAGTAATTATCGGTGTTCTTGACCAAGGCGCTGGCTGCTTGATCATCTTTGACGAGGCCGAAAGAGACAAAGGATACGACGCTGCTCTGGAGACTATTGATCGGCTAAGCACAGTTGTCGACCTGTTGTACACTAACAAAGCTTCCCTGCTAGAGTAACTCTAGGTTTTGTGAAGAGACTCGTGTTCGAAAGCCCGAGATTGAGGTGTGACTATTTCCCCTTTTCTGTGGCACAATTCTGCAAGCCTGAAGTTATCCAGCCCCTTTAGCTACCTCGCCCCTGCACAGCATCATATCCATAGAGAGAAATCAACTGGTCGACACGACATAATCATCTAGAGCCTGTCTCGTCTATTTCGTAGTAGTAAAGCTGTATTCAAGGAAGGGTCTTCCCTTATTGTATGCGCCGAAGATAATCTCGCAGCTTCACCACGTGACGCGACCAAAGAAAAAAAAAAGAACGAAAGCATTCGTGATCCTTACAACTTTTGCTCCGTCATGATATGCGCGGCTCGTTTACCTTCCAGCATCCACCACAGCCAACACATCCCAACGAATCCTGTCCGTTTCCACTGGTCGCGACCAGCGTTACTAGGTCGTTTATATTGGCGATTCTTTACTGACCGCCAAGATGAATGCTCCCATGCAGCAGCCCAATTATCGTGGATATCCACAACAGGCCACTTACCGATCTCCAGCCACGCCACGCAGACACGGTCCTGTCCCTGGTGAGTGTCTTACATACTTCTTATTAATATGACAATCCTTGCTCTCGTGTCAACTTGGGCCAGTTCTATTCAGCTTTCCCCTTACCAGAGATTTCTGACCTGAACTCAGTAGGTATGCCAATGCCGCAACACCCACCGCAGGCAATGCCAAACCAGCAGATGCTCGGTCAGCGCCATGCGTCGAACCCAGTTGAAGCTGCCGTAAGGCGAAGTCGAAAGCCGACAGATAAGAATCTACCAGATAATGTGGAAGATATTGTGATTGGTGACGTTGCGCAACATTATAAGCGACTTCGCGAGGTTGAGAAACGGCTGGACGCGTCTATGGTTCGGAAGAGACTTGACATCTACGATTCCATAAATAAAAATGCGAAGAGATACAGGACAATGAGAATATGGATATCCAACACGGTCGAGAGTCAACCATGGCAACAACAGGATTCCTCCAATTCAGAGGGGGCGATGGGTACGAAGTTAGGTGCCGGACGATACAGAGTTAAAATCGAAGGGCGACTGCTCGATGAGGCCGATCCCACTGCACCAGAAGGGAGTGATGAAGAAGAAGAAACTGAAAACCAAGGAGGTGAGCCTGGCGCAATGGAGGAGGACACACCAAGCGCAAAGTCCAGCAAACCAATACCGCAGCGAAAAAGACTATCTCAATTTTTCAAGTCGATAACTATCCACTTTGATAAACCGACCGAGAATGGAGTCGCAGATTTGGCCACAATAACCTGGAATAAACCTGATGTACCAGTCAATGCCGCGACGATGCCGCCGAGTGCCGATTTCGATACCCTTGAATTTTCTCGGGCAGCAGAAGTTAACCTGAATGTGACCATTAACCTCGTTAGAGATGAGACGCCTGAAAGATTTCAGCTGAGTAGAGAGCTCGCCGCCATTCTTGACGTAGAAAATGATACACGCGCTGGAATTGTGGCCGGAATATGGGAATATGTTAAAGCAATGGGCCTACAAGAAAATGAGGAAAAGCGCACGATTCAATGCGATGACCGTTTGAGAGCTGTAAGTTGGAATTTCAAGTTATTATCTATTCAAATGTTAGAAACTAATAAAGACGCTTCCTTTTCAGATCTTTGGCTGTGAGAAGATGTATTTCCCTGCCATCCCTGAGAGCACCACAACACACACTGCGACTCTTCCGCCTATTAAGCTTCCGTATACCATCCGCGTCGACCCAGAGTTCCAGAAGGACCCAAAGCCCACAGTTTACGATATCCGTGTCGCTATCGACGACCCTTTACGCGCCAAACTTATCTGTCTTACTAACTCCCCCGATTTCCCCGCAATGCTCCGTCATGTATCCGGTCTTGACGATCAGGTAGCACTCGCCATCCAAGCTTTGCACCACTCAAAGGCAAAACATTCTTTCTACACTGCCATGAGCAAGGATCCAGCGAACTTCATGAAACGGTGGATAAACAGCCAGAAACGAGATTTAGAGACCGTGCTCGGGGAAACCCCACGGCCCGGGCAAGGTGAAAGAGGTATGGAGTTCAGGCGTGGCGGTGAAGGCAGTGCATGGGATACAGAAGTTGCAAGAGAATCCGTCAGATATATGCTCGCAAAGCCGCCTCGCGCGACAAGGTAATGATATTTTGGATCGTTTCCTGACTGTAACCTTACTTTTTCTATGTCTTCTCTATGATACCTTTCAATGGCCTACCAATAAACGAAGAATACAATCAAATAACCGCGATGTGCACTCAAATCCCATCCTTAAACTGCAAGCTAAAATCGAGTAGTGCTATTAATATTTTCATTCGTCATAACGATAGTGTATGGATAAGTATTAGTTCTGGTTGGCAAATGGGGGAAGCAAAGGTGATCGGAGAAAGTGAGAATGTGTATCAGTAGCACTGTAGGCAAGCGTAGAGATGACGAATAAGTCCATGCATGACCCTCATCTACAGCGTCAACCAAGTCGTTTGTCACCCATCCATGCGAGTAAGGAACACATCTGGACCAAGGAAAGAAAGTGAAAGTTAAGACATACAGATAGAGAAAGGGATAATGCAAACCAATCGACGCTATGACATGATAGTATGAGATACTATTGGGAGATGCATTCGTGAATCATGCAACCAAGGGAAGCCGGGATAGAGAAAAAAGAGAATGAGTAGATTAATGATATCTATCCATCTATGCCTTCCGTCTTCGAGCGCCGGATCTGCCATTCATAGGGGCTGATTGTGTAGTATTGTTGGAGGCCTTTGACTCAGCGTCTAAGGCTCCAGTTATAAGAGTTTCTTCTTCCTTTTCGAGGGTTGAAGCAGCTTCAAGAATGATTGGGTTCGCGTCTCCTTCAATAGATTCTGGAGGGGCAACCTTGTCCGTGGATGGCAAATCCTGGCCTCTGAAACGCTTGAGAACCGCATCGATCATCTTCGAGAACCAATACCAGTTAAGGGAGTTGAGAACGGTGTTACTGCCAAGGTAAGTTAACGCAAGCCAGAGTGGAATACCGGCAGCTGAGAAGTCTGTAAACTTAGAAACCTCTGCATTTGCCTTTATACATTTGTCATCTAGACAAATGGTTGAGTTGCGAGCGCTGAACACTAAGGAGTAAAACTCCGGACTGCTAAGTGGAACGGAGCTGTCGGATATATGAAACGCCTTGTAAATGTCGGAGAAGACAGTAAAGGAGTTCCATGAGCCCCAGATAAGACGGCAGGAGAAAAATACCGAAAGGAGAGCCATTCCATTGTACCACTGAGCGCGGGATCCAGTCATATTAAGTTTGTCGAAGAACCAGTGGAAATTCAAGAACGGAGTTGAGAGCTCATACAGGATGAAGGTTGGCGCATAGTAGTTGACAAAGGGCCTCTAATCATTTTATATTAGAACCCCAGATTAGAAGAAAAAAAATTCGGAGATACACAGCGACGGCCATTGACGAGAGGAGCAACTCACGTATCCTAAACTGAAAACCAATACCGCACTGATCGCATGGAACAGCATGCCGACGCCAAAGACGTTGACATGTCTGACGCTGATGATCAGGTCCCACAGGAAATAGCCTGTCGCCATGGCCTGAATCAAGCCACAGGCTCCAGAATATCCATACACTCGCTCGACCGGTGTCATGTTCTTCCTCTCCTCGTCGACAAGTATCACCCACAGCGCCAAGACAGAGATGAGGGTACTTTGCGTGAGGGAGACGACATGGATATCCCAGCCGAGCTTCGTGCGCTTAGAGAAATTAGGATAAAGCTTTGGGAAAAGCCAGGTCGAGATCCTGGGTGCGACAATGGACTGGATGAACTGGTACAAGGCGAACGAGAGGATGACTTCATGTATATGGTATGGCAGCGTCGGCAGGGACCAACGCTGTGCGATCGGCGTAACCAGATCCTGAAGCCATCGTGGAGGAGGCGGTATCGGATCCAACATTACTGTTGGCAATATTGGCGGAAAGCTATAATAAGTAACTGAGAGAGCCGCAGCTGGAAGTTGAACATTCGGATGAAAGCAGCTAAGAGAGGATCATCTGCCTTGCTTCCTACTGCCCTTGGAGTACTCTTCTCCGTGTGTTACGGATCAGTAGGAGCCGGGGGACCTTAGGTGATATTTTATAGAGGGACTGCTTGCCGGCAGCTCTTAGGTAAGGATATATACAGAGATCAGGAGGATGTGCAAGCATGAGGGATGTCGTTAAAAAAGAAAGATGACTCGCGTGCCTGACCGCGCCTCGTGTTGGACCATGCGCCCGCGCGGGCCTACTTTTGTTTTCTGCCAGCCTCGGCATGACCAAATGTGGGCTTGCCGCCTTGGCCCGTTGGGGTCGCTAGTCTATTTTAGGGCTAGTTATCACGTGAACCCCAACGCATTCGGCATTCACGTGAACGAGAAGCCACGGCCGAATTAGGAAATCGAGACGACATCTGCTTCTCGTACGTCAACTCCATACAAATCTCTGCTAGGAAAGCAATGCAATAAATAAATTCAGATGAAGCGTCGTAATAGATTATAAACTAACTCATAACAAGGGAACAGGCTGCTAATCGAACATCATTAACTATAACAAAAAAGGCAAAAGAGGGGAAACAAAGCAAATACAAAGGAAAATATATGTTCCATCAAGAAAGCGCCCAAGAACCGATACCCTCAAACCGTCTCATAACTCGTCAAGGACACACGCGGCGGATTAAGTATTCAGCCAATAAGTATTATTCACGTACGATAGAATGATTCGCGAGCAGTCAATCGGTCGTCATACCTACACCGCTATCGGTCGTTTGATGGTAGAGCACCATATCACCTTCCTTTGCCTTTAGGGCGTGCAAGGTGGGCTCGTCATCTTCTTCCTCGTCTTCACTTTCTTCGGATTCAAGTTCACTGGAGCTATGCTCTTCAGTCTCTGCCCTATCAGCTACCTCGGACTGTTCGCCATTGGTGACTTGGCTCAATTCGCTGGGCTCTTGCCACGACTCACTTCCTGCTGCAACTGAACCATCCACGTTAGTAGAGCAGTAACTTGCACTGCGATTTCGGGACACTGTGCTTCCTGTAATATAAGAAACGCTATCGGCATATGTACCTGTGTAGCTTGTTCTTCTTTCAGTTCCTGCATCACTTTCGACTTCGCTCATGCTCTCCTCTTCTTCGCGGACGGATTCGTTCTCCTTGTTAGAATCAAGGAGTCGGGTATCGCAGGACTGTCGTCGGTAACCTTGGCTTGTCTTGACTGAATGGCTGCGCTTCAGGCTGGCTAGGCTATTATGGGAGCCACTATATGGGCCTCGGTCCGGATTTCCACGGTTGCCAGAAACGTTACTGAGACTAAGAATACGACGTTCATTCTTTCCATTTGGCACTGTTGACCCATTTGTTCGCTTGTTCGTGCGTCGATTCAGAGCCATTCCAACACTACTGCCGAGAATACCACCTCCTTTTGTGGTGCTGGCCGTACTTGGAACACGCTTGAGACTCATGCGGTCAGATCCTGAGTGACGGCTAACGAGTTGACTTCGAGCATGGTTTAACACCCCCTCCACAATTCTTCTCTCTAGGTCTTCCGCACGATCTTCCATTAAGTGGACTTCCTCCTGGCGGATGCGCAAAGCAGTCTCCATTCCAGCGACCTCCTTGGCCAGCTTGATTCTGTTCCGTGAAAGCTCGCTTTCTTCTTCTCTTAGCTCCCGAATGTTTTGAAGGAGTCTTTCTTTCTCCTCTTTGAGAGCAGATACTTCAGCTTCCACGCTCTCTTTTTGGGCGAGCCGTCTTTCGAGGGCAAGGGCCGCTTCCATGGCCTCTTCCCTCTTGTCCTCATAATCTTGAATGGTCTTTTTGGAGTGGGATGCCATCATCTCACTAACTTCGCGGGCAGTTGCATTGAGCTGCTCCTGCAGGGCGTTTAACTTTTCCATTTGAGCGTTGGAACTCTCTTTGTCAGAGGCATGGGAAATGATAGTGTCAAGTTTTTCATGCATCAAGGTATCATCGTATTTTTCAAATTGGGGTTCCTTAACTTCTGGAGGAGGGGGGAGGAGGGCAGGTAGAAGTGGAGTGATGGAATTTGGCAGGGCACAAAGGTCCGTCTTTAGGTCTTTACTAGATTGTTGAGAATGCTCGTAATGCTGACCAACAACAGCGAGAATTTCCTTAATGGAGCTAAGAAGCTCAGGGTGTGTTTGGGAAATCTGACTTTCGATGCGGTCGGTAGCTGCAACTGCTTTGTCGAATTGGGCTTTCATATCCTCATTCTGCAGCATAACATCTTCCTGCATTTTGTCAACCTTGCCGAAAGACTCGTCAACCCGGCCAAAGAACGTCTTGACATCCTCATGTAAGTTGTCTACTTTCCCAAAGGATTCATCGACTCGGCCGGAGAAGGCTTTCACGTCCTCGTGTAGGTTGTCTACCTTGCCAAAATTATCATCGACTCGGCCAGAGAAGGCCTTCAAATCCTCATGCAAGTTGTCCACCTTACCAAAGGACTCATCGGCCCGTCCGGTGAAGGCTTTCAGGTCCTCATGTAGGTTGTCAACTTTGCCGAAGGACTCGTCAACTCGTCCAGAGAAAGCTTTCATGTCTTCATGTAGGTTGTCAACTTTGCCAAAAGACTCGTCAACTCGTCCAGAGAAAGCTTTCATGTCCTCATGCAAGTTGTCTACCTTGCCAAAAGAGTCCTCAACCCGTTGAGTAAAGGCTTTCATGTCCTCTCGCACATTGTCTACCTTGCCGAAGGACTCGTCAACTCGTCCGGTGAACGACTTTATATCTTCGTGCAAGTGGTCAAACCTCTCAAAGGACTCATCAACTCTGCCAAAGAACGTTTTTGCGTCGTCGTTCATTTTATCGCATGTTTCCGTCAAGCTCTGGCCCATTCCTCCAATAACGAGTTTAAGGTCTTCGGCGACGGCTTTAGTGCTCGTCAACGCTTCAAGGCTTTGGGCATCTCGCTCTTCAGCGGCAGTAAATTTGGAATCCACGAGGAGTTGCGCATCTTCATATTTGGTAATGACCTCTTGGAATTTCTTGTCGATCTCTGCTTCAATATCTGCTTTCAGGCCATTTCGGTGTTCCTCGATCTTTTCCAGCAAGGCTGTACCTCTTTCGGCTGCTTCAACCTTCGAAGCCTCATGATCTCCATGTGCTCGTTCAGATTCGCGTTTCACTAGCTCAGAAAGCTCCTTGATGGTATCAGCTTTCGCGAATGATTCAGCAGAATCATTAAGACATTCGAGGATTGTCTTCATATCACCCAGCGTTCCATCACTTTCAGTGAGCTTGGTTTTGAAATCTTCCCGGAAATCAACAATAAACAGCTTTGCCTCCTCGATCTTCTCTGCTAGGCCACCATGCTCCACCTTTCGTGCTTCGAACGCCTGGGCCGTGAGCTCGTTTTCGGCATCCATCTTCTCCTTAAATTCATTGACGGTATTAGCAAGGTTGGTAATCTCCTCTTTTGTAGGTAAGGTGTTGACATCCGGCAGAACAAGTTCCTCAATCTGGGCCTTCAATTCAAATAGAAGCGTCTCAAGGTTCTTTACATCTCCCTTCACTACCTTTTCGGGGTCCTCCTTAGGTTCCTCCTTTTCAGAGTTCTGGGCAGTCTTGATTTCTTCGACGGCAACCCATACATCCTTCATGATGCCCTCCAAATTCGTGACATCCTCCTTAGTTGGGCCTTCAATATCAATATGAGTAGCAAACACGCTCATTGTCTCCTTAGTCTCTTTAGCCAATGTCTCCAAGGCTTCCACTTTTTCGGCTGTAACCCAGGTTGCACTTGTGGAAGGGGTGATTTCATCCAATTGGGTCTTCATGCCCTGCAAGAGGGTCTGGAGAGCCTCAATCTCTTCTTTACTGGCCGACGACACGTTTTCTGCTGGTGCTTCACGGGTTGCGTTATTATTAGCGGCCACTTCATTAACTGAACCATGTACTTCCTTGATAGCATCGAGAACTTTGGTAAGGTCGTCCTTCTTTAAAGCATCTGGGTCAACCTCCTTCTCTACGACTTCCCGGGCCGCATTGCTGCTGGCGGCGACTTCGTTGACAGATCCATGCACTTCCTTTATGGCACTAAGGACTTCAGCCAAGTCATTCTTCTTTACCATATCTGGGTCTTCACCTCTTTCAGGAACGACCGGATTAATATCGATAGCTTCTACCTTTGTTTGAAGCTGGGTGACGAGGGCTTTCAGGCCATCGATGTCACCTCCGATGGAAGCATCGCCGGCAAGCATGATTTCTCCTCCTCTTGTAGTATTTGCTTCTTCTGCCTCCTTCTGGGACTCAATTAGGCGATCCATGCCTGCCTTGAGTCCAGCGACTTCATCACGAAGGTTCTCCAACAGCTCCTTATCAACGCTGGGTTCAATTGGTTTGTCGTGAAGTTTATCCATTTCAGCTCGCAATTGTTCTACCCCATCATGGAAAGCGTCGAGAAGCTCGTTAGTGTTTGATATGATGCTTTCGTTCCCTTCTTTGCGTTCATGGTGCTCTTCAAACGCCGCTTGAAGGTGCTCTTTAAAGGCAGAAAGGAGCTCATCCTTGTCAAGTGATGATTCAGGTTTAACTATGGCCATGGAAATAGTTTGACGCAAGTGCTCAAGCTCCTGTTTTATGGTATCGGCAAGTTCTGAGTTGCTGTTTTTTAACGATTCACTCTCGCTGATTCCCCGAATTGCATTGAGGATTTCGTCCTTATCCTCAGAATTACTAGAGTTTTTCTTCAGTGCATCGCTGTCGCTGATTTCTCGGATAGCATCCAGGATCTCATCCTTATCAGACGTGGTATTTGATCGAATAAGCAAACTGCTTAGTGTCTGACGAAGGTGTTCGAACTCTTTCTCCATGGCATCCAGTAGTTCCACGGTGTCAGAAGGGTTCCGCTCAGTCGATTCCCTAATACATTTTTCAACGTCAGATTGAAGCAGGCGGAATCCGTCCTTGACAGTATCAATGATTTCATCCTTGCCATTCGCTCCTGCCGTACGGTCAATGTAGGATTCGATTTGGCCACGAAGAACCTCAAGTCCATCTTTAGTTGCATCAAGAACCTGCTCTGTGTCTCTGCCATTTGCAGCGGAATATTCCTTGAACTCATCCTTCATCTCTAGGATCATTCCATGCAGGTGTTCAATGAGCTGTTCGCCGAGGTTGCTAGTCAATGCCCCAGATGCATCCTCAAGACTGAGCCGCAGTGCATCAAATATATCATCACGATTAATTTCAATTTCTTTCGGTTGCACCTCTTGATTCGCAAGCCCTTCTTGGACGGCGCTTATGATTTCATCACGTTTAATCGGCTCTTGGGCGGCCAGTCCCTCCACAACAGCACTCAATACATCATCCTTTTTGATGGGCTCCTGATTCGCGAGCACTTCTTGTAGTGCACTCAAAACGTCTTCCTTTTTGAGAGGTTCTGGTAGAGATGACAACCCTTCTTGGATAGCACCGAAAACATCGTCTTTCTTGAGTGGCTCCGGGAAAGCGAGTCCTTCTTGCACAGCACTAATGACGTCGTCTCGTTTGAGTATCTCCTGGTGGGCTAGCCCTTCTTGTACAGCCGCAAAGACATCATCACGCTTCAAAGTCTCCTGGGATGTGAGGCCCTCTTGAACCGCACTCAAAACGTCGTCTCGTTTAAGGGTGTCCTCCTTCTCCACCTGTGGAGCTGGCCACTCCATGCCTTTCAATGACTCCTGAACCGCACTAACAACAGCCTCGCGGATGCTCGAGATGTCAGGCTCAATCCGAGGAGGCTCAAAACTCTGTAACTCAGTATGAACAGCATCGAGGACCTGTTGATAGACTACTTCTGGATCAATGGGTTCTTTTTGTGGTTGGTATGCTTTCAATCCTTCGGACAGGCATTCCAGGATTTCATCTCTTTCGAGTCCGAAATTCTGAAGCTCGATTTCTGGCTTATATGTTTCCCAGGCTTCCCTCACAGTCTCCAGAATTTCGTCTCTTTGGAGACCGGGCTCATGCTCTTGGGGAGGGGGAAGTTGTGGCTGAGGAAGAGGAATTTCATGAAGAGCCCTTTTAACCACAGCATATATCTCTTGGCTATCGGGAATTGGGCGTGTTATAGCTGTAGATGCAGTGTTTCGCGCATTCTCTTCGATGATATGGTCCATCTGTTGTCGTAGATCAACCAAAGCACCAGTAACAATTTGCTCGATTTCTTCCTTTCCGGGCCCTGAAGGCACCTGATCATCGATTGACCTGGTTTTCTGGGCCTCCTCTAGTTTACGTGCAATGTCTCGGCCCATGCCTAATACCTCACCACGGAGTTCACGAACAAGTGCTTTGACTTCACTAGTTATGCCACCGCCTTCCGCAACGCTCTGCTTAACACGTTTAAGCATAGCCATTAAATCATCCGCCAAAGGATTAGATGGTTGTAACGACGCATTGATGTTGGAGTCGGAGTTGCTACGAACAGGGGTTGGGGATGCGTTCAGGCATATTGGACCGGATCGAGTGCCTTGACCAAAATCAGGGGTCTGAGGCTTGTCACCGAAGAGTTGGTTTCCCATATCCCCTCTTGAACGGACCAATGCCCGGCTTCCTGAGTTCTCCTTCACAAGATTGAGGATCTCCGAAAGCATAGTGGTCATTGTATTGTCTTTTTCGGTGGGACGAGCTTGTACATCCTCCATGAGTGTCAAGAGTTTCTCCTGGCCTTCTTTTGTAGCCATTTCCCGCAACACCTTCTCTAAGAGCGCGATGCTAGCAGACCCGTCAGAGATAGGACCCGGGGAGGCTGCGAGGTCTCTTTCCAAAGCGGCTGCAAAGCTACCCGGGCTCGACATCCTAGCACCCGAGAAACTTTTGCGTGAGCTTGGAGATGATTCATGGGGTTTACTGTCGCCAAGCATAAAGCCTCCAGTTGCAGGGTGTATATAAGGAGTTCCTCGGGGCGTAGTCGTGTGGGGGTCTGGGTCGAAAATTTTGGAAGAAAGATTGGCGGTTAGATCTTTGAGGCTCTTTCGGATATCTTCATCCCTGGCGTTTGTTGCAGCTTTGAGGCTAATTAAGTCTGTGGCATTGTCTTTACTTCGGCGACTTAGTTGACTCATTTCTTGCTGCAGGGACGTGGCAATTTTAGTCAGGCTGACAATCTGAGCTGATAAAGCATCAAAACTTTCCGGCATTCTTGTCGGTTTCTCGGGTTTGCTTGGGGTTTCGTTGGGCACGGCCAAGTCCATTGGAATCTGCATATCGCGCAATGCCAGCATCGTAGCAGATGGGGGTGTATTTTCTCCGAGAATAGGCTTGTTAAGATACCGATTTGAAATTCGCGCCTGCGTTGGCGAATCATGATTTGGAGTAGTGGTATCAGCTGCTCCTCCTCGAGTAGGGGTGGTGTCAGCACTCCTGTCATCCCGATCAAATACACTATTGCGTCTATATTTCTCAGGAGAGGAGCGGCGCTCAAGGTAAGACGCAAATTCGTTGTTATTCGTTGCATTCTGCAGTGATTGCATCCGTTTATGATATTGTCCCTTTATTAAGGACTTTTCTGGGGACGTGGGCTTCAAGGGCATAGGATTGACGGTATATGAGCTCGGAGTTGTTTCCTGGCTTTTTTCCGCGAGCGCAGCAGCAGCCGCTTGTACTGTAGCAGATGCATTTGATCGAGTTACAGGACTATTAGGGCCACCCGGGTTGAGAGGTAGAGGAGGAGGAGCTCTTTTCGGGTCCGCACTATCCCACCTGCAGTTCGCAATGCGCAGTTAGCAATCATATCATTTATTCGGCAAAGTGACAGCATCATTGAAATATGCTGGGCTTGATGACATACATTGGGATCAGACTCCGGGACTCAGAAGGAGTGTGATGATGTCTGAGGACCAGCTCTCGGTCTCGATTCTCTTCCTTATCGTTTGGTTGCATGATGGATCGTAAACACTTAATTCGTAACGTTCGTTCAAAGGAAACAAAATAAACAAAAGGTTATCCCGGGTATAATTATGGCACTCAGTATACCATAACTCTTAAACCTAGACAACTGACAAAAGAACAAAGCAGGGTATCGTAAGCAAAGCAGAATCGCAGCGGGTGATGACGGGAAGAGTTATTCGTCTGTCCAGACAAGTCGAATACTGTGCCCGAGACACCAGAAGCCCTCCGTATGTAGGATAATGTGGGAAGGAAGAAGAAGCAGGAAGAAGACGAGACAACCTTGCACAAAAGACAGGTGGAGGTGTCGCTTTTCTTCAGGGCGCCAAAGGTTGAAAAACAGCTCTCTGTTGCCGTCAACAACAGGAAGGTAAACAAACAAGGATCCTCGCGGTTACCGGAGCGGCAGCGCTTGGCATGACAGCACGCTAATCCTATAATAGTAAGCGTCTCTCGAGATTAATCCGAGCGCGGATAAACATGCTATTCTAGGCCTAGTGGCGCTTCCGGTAAGCGGGCCAATCACGAGACCGCACACAACGAGAAGAAACATCGCACCAAGTGTCGAACTTGTTCATCGAAAAAAAAAAAGGACGAAGACGAAGACCGACATCACCAACTCTCTCGACAACCAGTTTTTTTTCTCGACAAGCCCACATTCGTCGGAACTCCTGGAAAATGAAGTGTACGTTACGCTGACACCTTTTCGCTCTACCGCAGTACTCATAGATGAGCATTTTATCCCTGGAATAACGCTGACAATGTGTACGAAACAGTCATGAAAGTGGGCCGTGTGGCCATCATCACCAGAGGCCGATTTGCCGGAAAGAAGGTACGACGATGAGTGTTCCCTTTGCAACTTCGGCTTGTCTACTGGGCTATTCGCGTGAAGCAAGATCTTGGACAGCAATGGTGTTTTTTGTGGTGATTTGCGATAGCGAGCAGCCAGGCACACGATCGAAAATTCGTCTCGAAAGTTGCAACGCCAACATCAAAACAGAGATAACAATTCTGCAACCGGGTAGCCTGCAATACTTATCGTGTCCACGAATTTTCCAATCGCCATCGAGGAAGAGGAGGACAATTATTTTGCCTGTGCAACAACCACACAGAATGATACAATAAGAGTAGTCCAACTGACGGCTGTGTTCAACGATAGGTCGTCATCATCCAGCCATACGATGCCGGCTCCAAAGCCCATCCATTCCCCTACGCTCTCGTTGTCGGCATCGAGAGATACCCATCGAAGATCACCCGACGAATGGGCGCCAAGAAGGTCGAGAAGAGGAGCAAGGTTAAGCCATTCATCAAGACCGTCAACTACAACCACCTCATGCCAACCCGTTACACTCTCGAGCTTGAGGGCCTCAAGGGCGCCGTGACCAACGATACCTTCAAGGAAGTTTCTCAGCGGGAGGAGGCTAAAAAGACCATCAAGAAGGCTTTGGAGGAGCGATACACCAGCGGAAAGAACCGATGGTTCTTCACCCCTTTAAGTATGCTTCTTGACTTCTACGAACAGCATAGAGAATAGGTATACTAACAAAGCCTACGTAGGATTCTAAATAAAACGTTTAATGGCCCTTCTTGTCACTTTATCTCCCCAGCATTTTCCCTCTTCCTGAGCTAGGACGGTTCTAGTTTATGATGAATGCTATTTTTCGTCTCATGCATAGATACCAAGTTGAAATGGACATCCAATGCAGAGCAGACAATCTATCTCACTTGATACGATGTCGGTTGTCTAGCAAAATCAAAACAATACAAATGACACTTGAGAAATATTCCGTTTGGCCCCTACATATATATATATATATATATATGCTCTTTTTATTGAATATGTAAGAGAGAAAAAGAGAGACCCCAGAATCTCATCGTAAGAACAGTCACATGCAATGTGGTGCCACCACTGCCTCAAATCGAGGAGACGGTCTGAATTATGTAGAAAATATCACAAGCCGATCACGCGTCTACGTGTAGAACAAGTCTACCAAAACACCCAGAGTTTGCATATCCTCTCTTCACATGCCGACGGAAACGACTGCTAGGCTTCAAAGTCTCTTTTGCTCCTAAAGATGGCTCCATCTCGGCTGCATCCGAGCTGATAGCTAAGATATTTAGCCTCACGTCACCGTTCACAGAGCTACTCGTATGGCTAACTGTATCTACACATCTTATCGCCCAGAGACGATAAAATAGCAAGCTATCATTACGGTCTGACAGGACGGGGCTACCGAAGATAACGGCCCGAACCAGGGTTAAAAAGGGTGAGATTTGAGAGGAAGAAGAGACACCAGGATCCATGCATCCAGCGTTTCATGGCCTATCTTCCTTCCAGACGCGACTCGGAAGATATAGGAGGATAAGGAACAAGCCCGACAGGCAAGCAGTCATCCCTTAACATAGCTTGACATCTATTAATTACAAGCTTCCGTTGCCCTCTTCACTCATGAAGGATGAAGATGAGACAGGCCAGTGTATCCCTAACGGATCCGGCGGTCTAGTAGCTTGATTATATGTGACTGCCATGTAGTTATTCGCACTCCGTACGCCGTGCTGTGTCCAATGCTTCATTTATGCACAGTCGATCTCTAGCACAGGTAAAGCTGCTGCCTGCGAACCGCCTATCAGAAATCAATAGCGTGCTGGCTGCCTGTTATCACCCAACACCAAGCGGCCCGGATCCCCTAAAAACACGATAGACTCATCCGGCTGCGTTTGTGTTCCATCCACAAGTTCCCGGACATCTCCTAAAGCGAAGAGATGGCGACGAGCGGCTATTAGTTAACTACTCACTACCTTGTGAGGGGGCAGTCGGGAAGTAATTCGCCTCGTTCGGTCGGTCCCTGGAGTGGCGACCGGACTTCCATCTCATTCTCCCTCTTGTCTGCCGCTGTGTGCTCCATGCTTGGTTGTTTTGATCATTGATAAGATAACTATGAAAAAATCTCGCACTTTCACATGCCAGAAGTCTCCGCTTGGCGAAATGGCTGGGATTTTGTACTGGTACTTGCGTGTGTTGCGTGGCTTCGGCGCAACGGGTTGTATAGATACCTGCGTGGTATGACTACAGCTAAGGTACCTGGCCACTTTCACATGTGAAAGAACGCATCTAGAAGAGCACAGAAGAGTAAGAAAACAGGCAGAGAGCACTTCTGGCGTTTCTTGCGGTTGATTCGCTGCTTGCAAGCGTGCTATGAAGCAGATGTGCTTTGTGAGTCGATGCTCGAGAGCCTGATAAATATAAAGCCTCCCTCCCGCTTCCTTGCTGTCCACTTTCGTGTGCACATCCCACAAACATCACAGTCATCTTCATTTCTCCAAGCTGATAACTCGCCTCATCTCTTATCTGTATTCTCCAATCTCAACTGTCAAGGTATGTGTTGCTTTGCCTGTCTGTCTCTGTATACACCAGCTAACCTACCCCTAGTAGCTCCAACTACCTAGCCATCCAAAATGGGCGAACAACCAAACACCAACGGCAGCAAGCCTTCCTCCCAATTTCTCTCTGTAAGTCAATCGAAGAAAGCAATGCAATGATAGTGGAAAAAGTACAGCTAACCCTCATATAGCATCTTATCTCCTACCCATTCATCGCCGACTATCTCGAGGCTCTCAAGAAATCCCCCTACGGCCAAAAGTCCATCGAGTATGCCGACAAGAGCATTGCCCAACTCCAGCCATACTTCCCTTACCTTGCTAAGCCCTACGGCTACGTGGCTCCATATGTCGAGAAGGTAGACCACTTGGGCAATGAGGGTCTGAACCAGGTTGACAACACTTACCCAAAGCTTGTCAAGGCAACCGAGGACGTCAGGGGAACCGTTCAGAGCTATTTCCGCGTGGCTGAAGATGGCACCAAATACGTTCGATCAACCTACGACTCAGAGTACAAGCTCGCTCAGGGTGGCAGCCCGATCGTGTCCCAAGGCAAAGCTGCCGTCTCTACTGGGTTGATGATCACTTCTCAGTACTTGCTCTGGTTGAGCAACTTGATTATCCCACACCAGCAGAAGGCACAAGAGAATGGCAATGGCGCCGCTAAAGCTTCCAGCTAAACTGGTTTTTTTCTCCATAAAGTTTCAGCACTCGTTTAATACCTTAAGATATCCCATTAGACGAGCACGCGTTTGCTTAGTCTAAGTGTTTGATGACTCTCTATCCTTTTGATCTCTTTAAATTCATATGGCTGGGAAAAGTTGCTTCAATATCTGCTCTTTTTATCTTGTCTTTGTGTGTTTATATACAGAACCTACTCTTTCTTTATAATATTTCCTATCCTCCTCTCCTCCTTATCTACCATGAATTGTGCTCAATTTAGTTTCTCATATTCCCTCGTCTAATTGAAACTACTATCCGGCCCGGGCTGTATGTATTAAGTTCACAATTCTCTACGTGATGAACAGTATATCTACCCTCTGCCCTTCCACTGTTTTCAAAACAAACGTATACATCGCCACATATCTCTTGCATGTGCGTGGCTCCACTCAAGACGCTGAGGCTCTCCTCTTTTATTTTCCATGAATATGAGCTGTATCAAGTCATATATAGCCACGTTCGCCGAGTTCGGTCTCTTCCTTATATAATTAATGAAGCCTCCTGCAGGCTATATCCCCAACTACCTGAGCTGATAAAAGGCACAACTCGAGTGTGAAATAGGGAGCAGGCCTCATCTCGGGCTTACGCTGGAGTCCCGCAACATCAAGAAAACTGCTAAAACATGCCCTATTTTTTCCCGAAACAGGGGCTATGATTAGTGGATACCACTATCGCCCGAAAAGCCTCGCCTTGCAAATCCTTTTCTAGCCCTTCCTTACCATGTTTGTTTGAGGGAGATGGAACCATGGAATAACACTCAGCTACCCTTCTTGCTTGGCTTTGCGGCTAAGCTTGTTTTCAGCCGCCTCTGTTCACGTGATATAAGGCTTGGCCCTTGGTTGTGTTAGGTAAGGAGGAGCGGACTATATCAACATCGCGTAAAGGATTTATGAGTTTGGAGTTGCGTATGATGTCAGAGGTAAGAGACAAGGCAAAGGATGTTGCAATTTTGTCTGATAAAATCCAGTAGTGTGTCGATCATGTTAGCCTCAGAGCGTATACGAAACATCTCCTATATTGAGTTAGACAAGGTCTCGTAGACCAAGATATTGATGGTTGCACACCTTATGAGATTCTTGAATATCGCCAGCTTCTCGTTTCATCAAGTGGCTGTATGTTAGTTGGCCCTTTTCTCTCGTGGATACTCTATAAAGTTGCAAGAGAGCGCCCTTTTATTCTTATTTCTCGGCATTTAAAATGGATAGTTAGTTCCTCTCCAAGGCGTTTCGACTGCTCAGCCCCTTGCAATCCCATTATTGTCCCTCTGGAATGCGAAGTGCGCGGAACGAAGGACAGCTCCTTCGCTGTGGTCGCCAGGTGGAGAACCCGGCCATCTCACTGGATGCTGGGGGGGTCATCGGGCGCTGGTGAAGGACTCGAAACATTGCACTGCCTGCTTCTATACGATGGACTGGGCTAATCGACGTTTTTTCTCGTCGATGCAAACTTCCTCTTTTGGGGCTGATGCTGCGGTTGAATTTACATAATCATGCCAAGCCGACTTTGGCGGATTAAAGCGGGGCGCAAGTTAAATACTGTCACGTGCAAAGTTAGCCTAAGCAGCGCTGGCTTATTACATTATCAGAACTACATAAAAGAGGAGATGCACCCCAGCTCCAGTACAGGCGTATTCACGATCAACGTATCTCGCAACATACACACTATCAAGTCATCTAACATAAATTCATACGATTCGTCAAGGTATCTCTACGATGTCTGAAGCTACCGCACAACATACGCAGACCGCGCCGAATGGGAAGGCCCCAGAGGCCGAGCGCGAACCCCAGCATCAACAGCAAGAAGCTGGCCCTGAGGCCTCTGGCGTCGGCTTTCGTCCTCATCATGACCTCATCAGTGTCCAGCCCGCTCGTCTAGATGACTTGCAGCCTAGATACGCACAGGTACTTCTGCCCGATGAAGAAAATCCTGCTGCCCATAGCTGGTACTCTGGCTTCAGTAAGTAGACGTAGGGATAACAAAATTGTATCTTAGGTTCATACTAACTCTCCATGTAGTTCATGGGCTGGGAGAGATCATTGGTACCTTGGGAGCCATACCCTGCTGTATCTGCTGCCCTAATCCTTTTACGCCCGTTAACCAGGGTCAAGTCGGACTGGTGACCAAGTTTGGTCGTTTTGAGCGTGCAGTTGATCCCGGCCTCGTAAAGGTCAACCCTCTCAGCGAGAACCTGACAACTATTGATGTCAAGATCCAAATCGTCGAGGTGCCGCGTCAAGTCTGCATGACCAAGGATAACGTTACCCTCCACTTGACTTCTGTCATCTACTATCAAATTGTCTCTCCGCATAAGGCTGCTTTTGGTATTACTGATATCCGTCAGGCATTGGTTGAGAGAACTCAAACTACTCTGCGCCATGTCGTCGGTGCTCGTGTGTTGCAAGACGTTATTGAACGTCGCGAAGAATTAGCCCAGTCTATCGGAGAAATTATTGAAGGTGTTGCTGGAGGATGGGGTGTCCAGGTTGAGTCCATGTTGATCAAAGATATCATCTTCAGCAATGAGCTTCAAGAGTCCCTATCGATGGCTGCTCAGTCCAAGAGAATTGGTGAAAGTAAAATCATTGCTGCGCGTGCGGAAGTTGAGGCTGCCAAGGTATGTGCTTTTCACAAATTCGCACCTAGACAAGATAAGAACGCTAACAACTTATTTATCGGATAGCTTATGAGAGCTGCAGCCGATATTTTGTCTTCTGCCCCAGCAATGCAGATCCGATATCTTGATACTATGCAGGCTATGGCCAAGAGCGTAAGTATATCCTTTTACCTCAACACGTTGTTGCTAATAGTTACTAATTTTTACCGCTCAGTCGAACTCCAAAGTTATTTTCCTCCCTGCTGCCAACAACCAGGCCGCCATGCAAGCTGCCATTGCTAATGAGGCTGGAGAAGGGTCCAGCCGCCGTCACGAGAACCCTTTTGAGCAGGACGGGCACAATGGCTTCCAGACTGCCATGAACGCTCATGTCGTGGAGAACATTTAAATTACCCGGATGAAGGCACATTAACTATCTCACTTACAAACGATCCTGTTTTTCGCGGAAATACCCGAGGAAAACCACCCCTTTACGTGTTACTATGATACCCTACTGTCGTTTCCTTTTATCAGATAGCAGCTCCTCCCTTAATTTGATGTTTATGTGTTTTAATGCTTATACCGCTCTTGTGTTCTGCTTTTTTGTGTGTTCTGTGCCTACCATAGGCCCACTAGGCAGCTCAAGTGGTCATGATTGATCCTTGCTTTCTATAGCTAATTCAAATCTGATCGATAAAATTACACCCTCTCTTTTACCATCTGTAAAATATACGCATAGACGATCAAATAATCAATTATCATATCACTCATAATTCAAGTCTACTGCCTGACATCTATCATGGTAGAATGATGCTAAGATAAAATAAAAGGTACAGTAAGGGACAAAAACAACTAAGCTATCCCACCAACGACCTGTATGTGACTGCTTTCCGCCACCGCCTTAGCAGACCCATGAAGTGCATGACTGAAAGTGGTGCTAGACGGGTCCTCGAGAAGCATGTCAATATCTTCAGAATCAGGAGGAAGTCGGAACCCGTTGCCTGGTTTTGGATATAAACGGTGTTCTTCTACTTCCTCTTCATCGCTATTCTCTCCGATACCATTCCTCGTGCTAGCGGGAATGCTTTCAGACGGCCATTTCGACGACGGTGGAGTTGATGTTGTGGCCTGTCCCAATATCTTACATTGTTGCGAACCCCCAGCCGATCCGTTTGGAACGGTTGAGGATGATACCGTCGACGCGCTGGAGCTAAAAGATGCTGTGTTGAGTTCATTCAGATTTGCAGGGAATATAGGGATATCTGGTCTGGAGTCTGATATATCGACAAGTAGATTGACTAGAGCAGCACGAGATAAACTGGAAAGGTAGCTCCTTTTCTCTACACGACTAAGTTGAGATCCCGCAAGTAATGTAGGGGTTTGTGGCCCGCTTGTTTGCATAGACGGTGAAATCGACGTGCGTAGACCATTCTGTTCGCGAGTTTGTCCATTTGGCTTGAGGGTTAGATCAAGAGACGTATCGATAGGTCGACATTCTCCGCAAAACCACTCCTTGTTCTTCACGGAGACAACATCATCTCCAATCGGCGGATCATGGCAAAACTGATGCCAAGGTGCGTTGCAATCGTCACAGAACACGATAGCATTACATCTTGGACTATGTCCTCTATCACAGCGAAGACATACCACATTAACTTCTTTGCCTTTGCGGTACACTCTTCTTCGTTTCCGTGGAGGTTGTTGATGATTCGTATCGGGACTAACAGATTTTTTCTGGACCTGCTCCGGAGTGAACATAGTTGGCCTGTGGATCTGGCGTCCTGATTTTGTCTGTGTAGTTGTTAGCTGAGCGTCGGAGGACTCATCTGAGCCTGTGTCCTCCGCTTTAATAACCCCCTCGTCGTCATTACGGTCGCCATATCTGCCAGATTTTCGAGAATTTCGTTGCTTCGCGCCTCCAGTTGTTCTACGACGCCGTGATATTGGTTTAGAGAGGTTTGCTTTTGGTGTTGACACAATGGGTACTGTAGACCCCACTGTGCTCGAAGTGGCCCCTATAGTAAAACCTGGAGCAATGGTGGCCGTAGATGGTGACAGCGCGGTTGCAGGGGATGGAGGAGCGGGTGCGATATTTCTCCAACCCGTGAGAGAGTTTGAATATTTCAACGGGAGCTCAGGTTTTGCTGCCGCTATATTAAACTCCTTTGCCTTGATATTTGGTCCCTCACCACATGCGATCATCGTTGAATTGTGGCCCTCGTGGGTAGATATTGAGGATACCGACGACAGTTCGCTTGAACTAGATGCATAGGTCATAGACGGTATGAAGACATTGTTATCCAGTCCTTCCCGTAAAAATGTAACACTCTCTGCCGGTATATCTAATATCTGCGTATTTTGTGTCTCGTTGATCATGCCTGGATTGGTATCTGTCGTATAAGGTGCCGTGGGTGGCGGGGGCATAGCACCGAATTCTGTATCTGAACCCATGGTAGTATATTAAGTGCAGGATGATAGGCAGAGCCTGATCAAGCCTATCGGTGTTTCATTCAGGTTAGAGAAATGATAGACCAGCTGTACTGATATGTATCTCTGTGCCTTCGAGGGTCGCAGTTAACTGTGGCTCGAGGTTGAGAAAAGAAAGGAGAAACTTTTGAAACCTCGTACACCGAACGAACACAGTAGGAGATTAGATATTGAGAACTGATGTAAAACCAGGGTTACTGCTGATATTACCCTCTTCCTTGCCCTAGGATAATGTAAGATATGAGAAAGGAGAATCATCAAATTTGACTTGAACGGGAATTTGGGAAAGCCAGTCGGGTGCGGCTCGTGTTGTCACGTGAACGGAGAAATCTAAGGGGGCAAACAGGGAGAAACAGACCTAGAAGAGACTGCAAACAAATAAAACAGAGTATATCGGAAGATCTGATAATTGCACTGAAGAGGCATGTTATATGTTAGCTAAGTTTGATCCACGCTGTATGTCTATATATTTTGTATATTCTAGGTAGATGTTGAGCCCCAGAGGCCGAAAAGGGTAACTATAACTGCAATATGAACAATCTATGAAACAATTCCGTCTGCCTTCAATTGAGCTATTTTTTCTTTGTCATAGCCCATGACATTCTTCAATACCTCATCAGTGTGTTGTCCAAGTGTTGGAGGTGGTGTTCGTATGCCTGGTGTGGCATGAGAATATTTGACGGGAGTATTTACAAGTTTGATAGGTCCGCAATCCGGGTGGTCAACCTCTTGTACCATCCCTCGAGCAAGCACTAAGTGTGTGTTAGTAAGACTATAAATCAATACGGTCGAAGTAGCTTACCATGTGAATGGTTCAGAGCGCCTTGGATGTCATTTACAGCCGCATATGGCATACCGCTGCCTTCCATGACCTCTAACCATTCTTGAGTCGTCCTCTGCTCGGTAAGATCCTCAATGAGTTTGTCAATGATCTCCCGATTCTTTACACGAAGAGCATTTGTGGTAAAACGTGCGTCAGTCTTCCATTCTGGGTGGCCTAGCCTGTCACAGAGAACCCCGAAAAGCCTGTCATTTCCTCCACCAAGGAGAATATCACCATCCTTTGTTTTGAAACTTCGGTACGGGACGATCGAAGCTGCCAGTCATGTTAGCAGTTGTAAGTGTGAATTTGTCCTCCTTGGTTTCAACTTACGATGAGCTGTTCCCCATCTTCCAGAATCCTTCTCCCCACTAATAAGTGCAGAGCTCGCAAGGTTTGCAAGCGTCGCTATTTGGCAGTCGCTCAAGCAAGCATCGATGTATTGACCTTTACCAGTTCTGCCACGAGCTATAAGTGCGGCCATGATGGCGTTTGATGTGTATAGACCAGTAGTTAAATCGGTTACAGCGACTCCAACCTTAACTGGAGGTCCATCCCTCGATCCGGTGATATGCATCAATCCCATCTCAGCCTCCACCATCACATCATAACCAGCTCGCTTGCTGTACGGTCCTGTTTGCCCATAGCCAGTGACACTAGCATAGATCAATCTTGGATTTATTGCCCGAAGTGACTCGTAATCCATCTTATATTTCTTCAGTGACCCAGGGATATAGTTCTCCACAAACACATCGCTCTCCTTCGCAAGCTTATGGAGGATCTCAATGCCAGACTCATGCGCAAATGACAATCCAACAGACTTCTTGTTTCGGTTAACCTGTTCTGGAGTTAGAAGCCAGAATACTGTACCAGAGTTATAAGCATGACTCACACCTAAGTAATAGGCACTTTCTCCTGGGCCCTCCTTTGTACCATCTTTGTATATGGCATACGGAGGACCCCATGCCCGTGTATCATCTCCTCGTGTGGGGTGTTCTATCTTAACAACTTCCGCGCTAATAAGGAAAAATCCATTGTTAACATTGCACAAAATTGACCATCCAGAGCTTTCGGACACAAATCTCACCCTAAATCTCCGAGTATTTGAGTACAATAAGGCTGGAGTTACACCACTGTTAGTCCCATCTTCAGACCAAACAACAATTGAGCATATTAGATGAAAGACTGAGATAGAAAACATAGCTTACTCCGGCGAGAACCCTAGTCATATCCAAAACTCGAATACCGGCCAGTGGGAGTGTGTCCACCGAAGGAGCAGCTATCGAATAACGCTTGCATGCTGCTGTGAAAGCTTTGTTATTGGCGAACCTTGAAAGCTTGTCTGTATTGACAACGCGTCTTAAGATTCGGTAGGAATTCATTTTCCTCTCACAAATACCACATGCACAATTCACTCATTGATATAGTTCTGTGAACTGATTTTTGTCAACCTCGAAGTTGAACAACGATGAATGATGAACACTGGCGGTAAAGGCAGGGGAGACGCGGCTGTTCAAGTGCCGAAAGCGGCAGAACAGGTGCAAGCGCGGCCCCACTCCCGAACCGCGGCCTCGGCTCCCCGATGCGCTTACATAATAGTTAACGAACTAACTATGGGATGGACTGCGAATGAGCAAGCCCGCCGCACTAGCAAACAACGGCAACGTCTTGTTGATACCACCAAGAGAGACTACACCATAATACTTGGCTAATATGTTCACCGGCCTGGTAGAGAAAGTTGGCAGTAAGTAGAAGTCTCGTCTATTGACGATGCATGATGTTAACAAGTAAATTTCAAGCTGTCACTGCCCTTGACCCTCAAGATGACTCCTCCACAGGCGGGGGCGGGACATCCTTAACAATTTCGGATTGTGCAGAAATACTTACAGATACAAAGCTAGGGGATAGCATATGTGTCAATGGTATGTTTTCTTACTGAAATAAAGAATAAATATAATGTCTGTCCAGCAACTAACCAGAAGACAAAAGGGACTTGCCTAACCGTGACAGCGTTCGATAAGTCATCGTTCAAAGTTGGGGTTGCGCCTGAAACTCTACGACGGACAAACCTAGGATCTCTCAAAGCCGGATCACCAGTCAACCTTGAACGGTCTGTGCTGGCCACGACACGAATGGGCGGCCACTTTGTCCAGGGCCATGTAGACACCACCGCAGAGCTCCTCTCCGTAACCCCCGATGGCAACTCCCTAGTACTTAGGATGCAGCCTAAGGACAGGAGTTTGCTAAAATATGTTGTGGAGAAAGGATTCATTGCTCTAGACGGTGCCAGCTTAACGATTACCAAGGTTGAAGATGGTGAAGATGGTTGGTGGGAAGTCATGCTAATTGCATACACACAAGAAAAAATAGTCACATCAAAGAAGAAGCCTGGTGATAGCATTAATGTCGAGATCGATCTGGTCGGCAAGTACGTCGAGAAGACTGTACAAGGCTACTTTGAGGGGCAGACGAACGGAGATTCAGCCGCTCTGGAAAAGATGGTGGATAGACTTGTCGAAAAGAAGCTCCAGAGCATGGGGAAGGTTTGACGACAATCCTTTCCGTCCTAGGGAAATCATTGTAAGAGTTTCCCAACACAATTATAAATGATAATCTAAATATTTTCCACTCAGCTGGTTTACCCCCGAGCCATGATCGAAGCTGTAATTCCTAGCGGTAATGCGGTCCACCCAACCGGCCGCTTTCTTCAATGAAAATCACAAATCTAACGTAGTGTCGATTGCCTACGCTTGAATGTTGTAACTTTTGAAAAGATGCAAATAATATGTACAAAAGAGATATCCTCGGCAATAGATCAAAGAAAGTATCCAAGACTTTCAGTACGATAGCGCCACTTAAGCTTCCCCTTTTTCTGCTTCCCACATTTCCTCATCTTCGTCCTCTTCCGCGTGGATGAAGTCATCGCTATCCCAGTCATCATCATCATCAACTTCATCAGAATCTTCATCGTCTTTACCCTCACGTGGTGCCTTTGCCTTCAGGGCTTTCTTCTTTTCAACATTCTCCTTCTGTATTTTTCTCCTGAGTTCCTTTTCTTTGCGTTTCTTCTCCCAAGATGCATCCAGCTTCTGGGCTTCTTCTTTAGTCTTGGTCACATAATCGTGCCACATAACTCTTCCGCCGCAGAGACCCTCTTCCACTTTCATCAGCTTTAATTTCATACGAGGTCCGAGTTCAACCAGTTTCACTGCTCTTTTCTCAACATTTGATCCGGAGCTGCGAGCTGATTTGGACCCAGTTTCCTTAGCTCGCTGAAGTTCCTTTTTGTTCAACACTTTTCTAGTCGTGGATTCTAGAACCTCTACCTCCGCATCCGTCTCAATTTCGGTCTCGCTTGCAGACGTAAAACCGGCATCGCCACCACCACCGCCCAGCAAATAATCTGCAACATCATTCAATTTACCCAAGTTTGGGACAGCTTTATCCTTCTCTTTACCCCGGAATTCCTTCGGATTAAGTCGCCTTATCCTCTTAGGCAGGTCGATTCGTTTTGTTGTGATGGCGTAATGTCGTAGATTCACTGTAAAAGATTCATCTTGTCCCTTCTTTGATGATCGGTCTCTGTCGAGTAACATAATACGTCGAATTGAGGCAAGTGGTGTTGTTTGAGGTGAAATTGGAGGGAAAAGAGACTGGAAAACCGTGGTGACAAGAGACTCTAAATGTTTTGGAATTTTCTCCGATGCTTCCCCCTCTTTCGAAGACATGAAATTGTTCATAACCAATAGTGGATGAGTTGTGTGGCTCTTCCCCAAGCCTCTCGGCCGCTTCAACGCCTTTTTGACATCTTTGCACAAAGAGTAATTCTCAATTCTGAAATTTAACGTGGGGCCGCGGGGTGTGAGAGCAATGCGAAGATTCGAATTTCCATTGCTTGATTTAGAAAAAAGCAGCAGATGAGTAACTCCTAGTGGCCCGGTCATAACGGTATAATCTTTCAGCCTGTTCTTCGTCCGTTCCTATCAAAGCTATTAGCATTCTGATATATCGAAAATTTTAGAAGCATTTTCATAAATTAGAGGCATACTTTTAAGCGGCTTGCAGTATCTGGCTCCATCATAGACCGGACATCTTTTGCCAATTGACTCATGCTTGAACCGACCTGGCCTGCGCCAATTCGAATTACCATACTCTTGGGGGATCTGTTCATCGAGGCGGCTCCATTCTTGGTTCCTTGAGCTCCAGCCTTACCTGGAGGGACATGAGTCCGCTTCTTAACACGCCTTTTCGCCATATTCCAAAAAATCGCCGAAGATCAAAAGGTACAACAAAGTTATTGAACAGTTCTTAACTTTTCAATTTCACCAAGCCCAGCCCAAGATACTTTATAATGAGCTTGCAACTTTTCAGATTTGATCTTGATATCGGATTATTGATTTGACGAACTCCGAAACTCTAAAATGTAGTTCGGAAACCTTATTTTTTTATCGGATAGAAAATTGAACACGGAGCGTAAATATTTAAATACTTCAATTTATCTGCCAATACCCGAGAGATCACTGCAAAAATGTCGGCTGTGAAGAATATCAAACGGCGAAAGCTGTCCCATCCGTCCTCCAAGCCCGCTCCGGATGATGTCTCTTCAGGATCGGAGCGCGAGCAGGAAGCTCCAGAAGAGAGCGGCGAGGAACCGGCAGACACAAAAGCACCCAAGACGTTCAAGGACCTGGGGATAATTGACTCCTTATGTGACGCTTGTACCTCGCTGGGGTATAAAACCCCAACTCCGATTCAAGCTGAATCCATACCCCTAGCACTACAAGGGAGAGATTTGGTGGGGCTGGCAGAGACAGGAAGTGGAAAGACTGCGGCTTTCGCATTGCCAATTCTTCAAGGTAAGCAAAGTTAATTGCGGAATTGGTCATTATAATTAAAGCTGCATCTGGCTAACAAAGCACTATTGTACCGTTGATAGCCCTTATGGAAAAACCACAGCCTTACTTTGGACTTGTCCTTGCACCCACTCGAGAATTGGCCGTACAGATCTCAGAAGCGTTCGAAGCCTTGGGGTCGCTTATTTCAGTTCGGTGTGCGGTCATAGTAGGAGGAATGGACATGATATCCCAATCGATCTCCCTTGGGAAAAAGCCACACATTATTGTTGCGACACCCGGAAGACTACTTGACCACCTGGAGAATACTAAAGGATTCTCACTGCGCAATTTGAAGTACTTAGTTATGGATGAGGCGGATCGGCTCCTTGACTTGGATTTCGGTCCTGTGCTGGATAAGATATTAAAGGTGCTTCCGCGTGAACGCCGAACATATCTGTTCTCCGCAACCCTAAGTTCCAAAGTCGAGTCTCTGCAGCGCGCTTCACTTTCAAATCCCCTACGAGTTTCCATCTCATCTAACAAGTATCAAACTGTCTCAACTCTTCTTCAGTCATACATTTTTATCCCTCACAAGTACAAGGATATCTATCTTGTGCACATACTAAACGAATTCCCTGGACAAACTACTATAATCTTCACCCGCACCGTCAACGAAACCCAACGTCTTTCCATCCTCCTGCGCGCACTAGGATTTGGTGCAATCCCTCTCCACGGCCAACTATCCCAGTCAGCTCGTCTTGGAGCCCTCGGCAAATTCAGGTCCGGAAGCCGAGATATCTTGGTAGCTACTGATGTTGCAGCACGAGGTCTTGATATCCCGGCCGTTGATCTAGTGTTGAACTTTGATCTTCCCTCTGACAGCAAGACATACATTCATCGTGTTGGGCGCACTGCCCGAGCAGGCAAGAGCGGACGAGCAATCAGTGTTGTCACACAATACGAGGTTGAGATATGGCAGCGAATCGAGGCTGCATTGGGCAAGCAACTACCGGAGCACAAGACGGAGAAAGAGGAAGTGATGGTATTGAGTGATAGGGTGGGGGATGCCCAGCGACTGGCAGTTACGGAGATGAAAGATCTCCATGAAAAACGAGGGACGAAGGGCGCCACCCTTCGGGGGCGCAGGAAGGGGGATTCCAAGAGGGGGAGAGACGACATGGATCGGGAGGAGAGATGATCAACGAGGTAAATTTCTTCTTTTAATGGTACAATTTTTACATTTGCATACTCATGATTTAGCGGTCTTATCGGGTTGTGCAATGTAATCCGGAAACGAATATGTTATGTGTATGAAGTCATAACAGCTCTTTTGATGCAAATCTGTATCGATAGAAATATTTATCTAGAAAGAGAAAAAAGGAAAAGATAAGACTACCTAGTCAGATTTTGTCCTGCAGAGAATAGCAAAAACCCAGAGACTGGTTTAGAAGCTTTTCTTCGCTGTTGGATAAGAGCCAATCCTCATCCATCAAGCCATATTGGCAACCAAGTTGAGAACAGGAGGTCAGGTAGCCGAAAAGCCGAACGCTGTTCCAGCAACGAGCATCACGATGACAAAAGCTAGAGAGATTTATTTTTTCTCGCCTCGTCAAAAACTCAGCAAAGCCGTATCAATATGGTATGATTTTATATTATCCTTTTTGGGTAAGAGAGGAAAACATCCCGTGAAATAAAGTCGTGATTACAAACCATAATTGCCCTTCCTCGGACAGTTTGAAAAGCAAATAATTACTGCCCAGCAGCAGCTTTGCCAGCTTCCAGGACAACAGCAGCAATTCTGTTAGCGAGATCATCAGTCTCTGACCGAGTGGCTGCTTCAGCATAAACGCGAACTGCGTCCTCGGTTCCACTGGCACGAGCAAAGCTTCTACCCTTGTTGTAGCGTGATTGGAGGTCATCAATACGCTGCTGGAGACCTACAGGGGATTGAAGTTTCCGTTCAGCATCGTAGGTCTTAAAGATAGAGCGGTCTGGGACCTCGATCCTGACCAATTTGTTGGGTAGATCAGTGTATGTTGCAACCCATTCTTTCAGGGTCCAACCCTTGTGGGCCAAGATGACCTCGACCAAAAGCATGTCAGATAGAGCATCTCCAACTGCCTGGTTAATGAGGTCTGTCATAGCAACAAGGCTCTCCAAAGCATACTTCTGGGCTGGTGATTGAGGCTCGGCTGTCTTAATCGTCTTGAGAGCGTTTTCAGAGAAGGTAATGGTTCCGTGGCCATTGGCCTCGAAGTATACGCCAACATCAAATCTCATGGCAGCGTGATGCAGATGCTTGACACCAGTAGGCGTGCAGACAACGGGGAGCTTGAGGACCTTTTCAATGTATTCGGTACTAGAACCATTTGCATAGGCAGTTTGGACCACGCCAATTTTGATCTTGTTGGAAAGTCCGGCGTTCTTTGCGAGCTCGCCAATGAAGGAAGCAGCAAGAGTGGCAATGCGGTCACCGTCAAGGAGTCTGAAGACACCGCTAGCATCCATGTAGTAGTACACTAATCGGTCAGCATCACCGTCTAGGGAGGCACATCTGTCCTGTGCCACGGCCTTGGACGAAGGTGGAGCACGTTGCTTCGTTTTCACATAGTCGGCTCCGCACTAGTTTTATCTTTGTTAACGATTGTTTTTTACCCATCATGTGTAAAAGGGGCTATATCGTGAATACCTCGAAGTTCAGTCTGTCAGGGTTGATAACGTCGTCGTTGATAACAGTGATATCCAATCCACCATCCTTAGCAGAGGGCAAGAACTTGACGAGCTCAGCAAGCTTCGGGCCACCAACACCATTGGCGCAGTCAACAGTAACTGAACCAGTGGTGGTGCGTCCGTTCATGACCTTCTTGAATGCTTCGCTAAGCTTCTCGTAATAGCCTTTCTCAGTAGGCTCCCCGTACTCATAGGGAGTTCCTAGGGTGTTCTTGCAGCGAACTATGTAGTGTAGCTGAGGAGTAGTCAAGTACTTGAAATCAGTCGCCTCAACCTCTGAGGCAGCCATGGCCGCACTGAGGGCGGTAGCAAGTCTAGCTCCGGAAGCTCGAGTGTCCCTGGCGAAGACGACACGGGCAGGGTTGTCCATTTTTATCTCTATCTCATCGACGAGTTTCGCGTATTCCTCTCCGAGAGTCTCTAGAGGAGCGTTTGCCAATCTAGTAGCAAAGACCTCCCATTCGGCCTGATAAAAACGGAGGCGATAAGTCAATAATTTCCCTCCCCGAGTCTGAGTTTCGGGTATTATCCTACCTCCAACATCTCGCCCTGCGATAACCATCTTATGTTAGCTCGCTGCTAGACGCGGTAGATAGCCAAACCACACATACCATCGGGTCAACCAACTTAACCCCATTGTCCTCAGCCGGGTTATGGCTGGCTGTAATCATAACACCAATATACTGTCCGTTGAGCTTCCTCGAGCGTAGGCCGGCCAACAATCCCATCGCAAACACAACAGTGTTGAGAAGCTCTCTAATGACAACCATCCGTTAGACTCCAGGGTGTACGGCGTAGGATAGTGTACTCTCTGTCCCTTACGATTTCATACGGAACTACATTGAGAGCAGAACAGCTTGAATTAGCCCAAAGAAACACTCTTCTTCCGCGGCGTTTACGCGCTACATGGACAAGGGACCTGCGAAACTTACTCCAGCGGTTCCATATTCAAAGATCTTCCCTTCAGGTTTAGTGTAGGCCGAGGCGGCCTTGTTGATGGCCTGCTGGAGCTCTGCGGAAGCCATTGATGGTGTTGCTGTCTGTCTGCTGCAGCAAGTCGAGTGAGCGAGCGAGGGTGGTTGTCTGTTGTCGATGCAAGCTCGCTTCGTCGTCTATTTATCTCTCGGTGGGGAGAAAATGCGAGAAAAGGCAGCGAGGGGGAAAGACGTGGAAAATCAGCTGAGCGTGGGGTGTGTTTGCACTGTTTGCATCGCTCGCTGCAGTAGCGCAAAAGCTTCACATGTTGCAGGTTGAGCTGCAATTGGAGACAGCGAAGTACGGGGATGCATGCAAAGAGCGAGGGCAGAGTCTATCCTGGTGGCTTACTGGTGGCTGGGGACAGCTCAGCGTCGAGGGCGGGCCTCCGTCAAGCTGATTCTACGTCTCAGGAGTTTGCTAGAGGGAGATGGGGAAAGTAGCATAGCGGTTAGGTAGGTGGTCTACAGAGTAGATATGTACAGAGTACTGATAAGTATATCCCACTGATAGATCTATATAAACGGATTCTAAGCACGCAACCGCTGCTCGGTTATGTCAAACTCAGCGTCCCGGATAAGGAATCTGTACGGGAAAGGCCACGGTAGTCAGTAAAAAGGGGAGCAAGCGAGAACAAGAATGGGAGGGAAAAAAAGAAAGGAAAGACATGAGAAGAGACGGCACAGGGAGAACGTACGCATACCACCAGATGGTGGGGATAACTGTGCCTAAATGCCATAAGCTGTGGGCATCGATTAGGCCGCCAATCGGAGGGAAGTCCAGGAGCTCAAGGCTCATGGCCAAAATCACCCATCCAACGATCATACTTGGCCACGCCGTCCAAGACTTCATGTATCGTTTATATTGTTTGAAGCTAAAGACAGTCCACATCAGATTCTGGATGATTCCCACCGCGACGTTGGCAGCCATATTGTACGTGTAATCCCAGGACCAGAAGGTCAGGTACGAGACATGCATGGTAAACAGTGTCATGCAGAACAGCGTCCATCCTCGTAAAAGCGACGGTTTGTAGTGCGGCCGGAGCTTGTCCAGGCGAAAGATCCTTACAACGGCCAGATATAAACCGTATAGCACGCTAGCCCCGGCTGCGAAGTAGTCAAGTTTCTCTGTTAGGGCGAAGTCTCTGGTGTGGAATATCATGCTGAACGTCCAGCTGGCCAGCCCAAAGTAACCGAGCCAGAGGTAGTACTGCCGTAGCGAGTAAGATTGAGGAATCCGTTCCTTCACTTGTTGTATTCCGCGGTAGTGAGCGAGATAGTTGAAAAGGGAGAACAGGGTCGAGAAGAGCTCCTGGATGCCCATGACTCGGTGAAAGGGCCATTTTCCGTGATATTGGACAACAGGTTGAAGCATTGGAGGGTCTCTGGCCAGCCGCTGGTTGGTTACGACATGTTGACAGGAGTAATCGCAGTTCGAAGGACAGTCCCAAAGCAGGAGCCGGAGATGTATCGCTGCTCAAGCTTGATTCGTTAGCTTCTGATAACTCAACAGACCGACAGACAGGCCGGACGATATCTTACGGAGAGATGTCTGTCCCGTCTCGCAGCGCTCTTTCTTGCAGCTCTATATCGTTCAAAACAGCAGGTCAGTCATAGCGTTTCTCGTCTCGAGTCTTGAAGCTGGCAGGAATACCTCAAGGCAGTCCTTGAATTCCGGCAGCCTGTCACCGAGCGACGCCAGAGAGACGTCGGCCAAGACTATCCACACGCAGAGAGCCAGAATCCATCGAGAAAAGGGTATCCTGGTAGGTTTCATCGTTAATAATGCTGAGGGTAGGAAGCCTCCCACACTGATTGATAGTTAGAAGGTGATCCTCCTTGGCAGCGAACTGATTTAGCTAGTAGGCTAAGAAAGCCCCTTTTTGGGAGTCGCAGGAGACCTCACTAGCTAGACAACTCGGAACCTATCAACGTAAGAACCGTTTGGCTAGCTTGTTGTTACTCTTTCACAAAATGCAATATTTGTGCCAAACACAAAGGAATAAAGCTAAAGAGCCATGAAATATTCACTTCATCTTATTTGCTTAACTAGGCATTTACCCACACAATGTTGCTGTCTATTTCTGTTGAACGATAGTTAAGGGCTAATGACACATTTGCAGTCCAGATTACTTGTGAAATATAAACCCGTAAAGAATAGCTGATCACCTACCTTGTAACATAGCCAATCGAATCGAAGAAATCATAGTTCAGTCAACTTAGGCCATAGCCAGCATGCACGATGTCAGCGGTATCAAGGGTTCGAAATAGAGACCGTCATGTCCCCAACCCCCGCCGCATACGGGGACCCTTAGAATTACGGAGAAGAAACCTCGTGGTGTAGTCCAGGGGGTCTTGGTTCCAAGACATGCGGCTCTCTTTTGTCAAGACGAATTCCTTCCGGGGTCCCTGTCGAGACACAGGCCGAGAAAAGGCTAGTATGGAGTCATCCTCTGATAACGAATCTTTCCCAAAGCATTTTACCATATTTTCCCGCCATTCTGTGTCAGTATTGCCCTCAAGGTCAAGATGTTCTATTCCCCATTCCTCAGAAAGGTCCATGCCATCAACTAAGGCCGCTAAGTCTATCCTGTTTATTGTATCTATCAAACTCTGGGTGTTAACATGAAGCTTCGGATAAGGTAGGCATCCTGTAAAACTTAGTATGCAGTATGCTTATGACGAGCGTAGAGCCTAACCTTGACTCCATTCGATGTTCTCAGGCTCGCATATAAAGTGGCAGGAGCTTGCGGGCAATAGTAGCCAAAAATCTGTCCGGCCAACAGCTTTGAATCGAGGAAATCTGTGATCAAGGGAGCCTGGGCGGCGGAGCGGGAACGGTTCGCATGGCTCTAGTATATGATGGTTGGACGTGAAGATCTCAACAGCCTTCTCAAGCTGGGCATCTGGGACGCATAACACTCGGTCCTAATAGTATCAAAAACTAAAAGAGTGCCCGGAGCCCGCGCCTGTAGTTTATACAAATATAAAATTGTACAGTACACGCGCATTCGCACGGGCCCCATAGTAAATAAGAGCATAATCGTGAACAATGCAACAGCATATGTCTGAATCCAGTAACATGCCGACAATTGCCGTAACTTGGTCATGAGACGGATCTACATCGCCAGGATTGCCAATTGCAAGGGTATGAGATGTCAACGACATTGAAATAGCCTGAGGAGTAGCAAGCGTGTTGTCCATGTCTTGACGGAAGGCGTTGCTACAGCCTCGATGTCGCCCACGCGAAGGGAAGTTTCGCCCTCCAGTACTTATCGATAAGGACATTAGTTAACATCAGATTAAGGTTTATCACGTGACAAAAGCTTCTATGAAATGCAAACAGTGCAAATTTTGAAAATCTCCCGCCCTCTTTTTTTTTTTTTTTTTTTTTTTGGAGACAGAAAAAAGCCTTAGGGAGGAGAAAGGAAAAGACTAAATTTTTCAGCTTGTGGAATTTGTCCCTGTTTTTTATCCTTTCGTTACAGTTGAGATCATATTCGAAGTCATTTTCTGTTGCAAGTAAACTTGTTGTGGTCGTTCTTGCATACTGTTTGTTTGCTAGATTTGCTGCCATCCTCAATATCAGCCATGGATACTCCAGGAGATAATGCTGGCTTCTCTGCCTCCAGCGCGGATAGAATGGTCGGAATGGACCATGCTGAAGTCCGCTACTTTACGAGGTATGTATTCTTTTTATTTCACGTCTAGGATTACGGCTGATTATTCTATAGTTATGATCATTATGGTAACAAATACCCCACCAATAGTTAGCACAAAGTGAGGAATTGGTCGATCCAGGGCTAACAGAAATGATGTGTTGCAGGAATCCATGAAGAGATGCTTGTGAGTCAGGGCGGAAATAAGAATGCATGGGATGAATACGTACTAATGTGTGGCTGTTATAGAAAGATGAAGTGAGGACTCGCTCATACCGCGATGCTATCTACAACAGCAAACATCTTTTCAAGGATAAGGTGGTTTTGGACGTCGGTTGTGGCACTGGTATTCTCAGCATGTATGTGCCGCCGTTTGCGTTCTGTAATCAAACTCAATATTGATGAGAATGCGTAAATAGGTTTGCCGTTAAGGCTGGCGCAAAACATGTTATCGGTGTCGACATGTCTTCCATCATTGGGAAAGCCCGCGAGATCGTCGAGGCAAATGGAATGTCTGACAAGATAACCCTTCTCCAGGGCAAGATGGAGGAAGTAGAGCTCCCTTTTCCCAAGGTTGATATCATTATTTCCGAGTGGATGGGTTATTTCCTTCTCTACGAGTCCATGTTGGACACCGTCCTTTACGCCAGAGACAATTACCTCAATCCCAATGGCTTAATCTTTCCTGACAAGGCCACCATCTACCTTGGAGCCATCGAGGATGGCGACTACAAGGAGGAGAAGATCGGATGTATGATCCCCCCCACCCCTCCCCGCTCCCTTATTTGCACTATCTCACGATATTAACCCCATTCGTTAGTCTGGGACAATGTCTATGGCTTCGACTATTCTGCCATGAAGGATGTTGCTCTTACCGAGCCCCTCGTCGATATCGTTGAACTTAAAGCCTTGGTCAGCGACCCCTGCGCTCTAGTCACTCTCGACCTTTACACCGTCACCACTGCGGATCTCTCTTTCAAGGTTCCTTTCACCCTTACTGCAAGACGCGATGATTATATTCATGCCCTGATCGCCTGGTTCGATATTGACTTCACCGCCTGCCACAAGCCTGTTCACTTCTCAACTGGCCCACATGCCAAGTACACCCACTGGAAGCAGACAGTTTTCTACCTCCGCGACGTACTCACCATCCGCGCCCAGGAATCAGTCACTGGATTCCTGGAAAACAGGCCAAACCAGAAGAATAAGCGTGATCTCGACATTACCATAGGGTTTGAGTTTGATGCCCAGGATGAGACTCGTAACTCCCAGGGCCTCTGCCAGTACAGAATGTGCTGAAGGGGGAATAAAATGAATGTTACGCGATTCTTGCATGAATTTTTCGTTATTTCATACGCTAAAATCGATTTGGATCTGCATTGGGCTCCTTTCCCGCTTTCATTTGCTACAAGACATATGACTCGAGGAAAAGTGCCAACTAGCAAGATGGCAATGGCGTTGGGAATGAATATGGCATGTTATGAAGTGAATGGTCTAGAAAAGGAGAGATGATGATATAAGCGGCGATTTTATAAAGCTCCTCGATTTGCAATTGATACCCTCGAGTAGATGCTTAGTCTAACCGGTTTGTTTAGTTTAATGGCATGCATTTTTTTTTTTCATAACCTTTCGTCTTCAGAGATTACCATTCTATGTATGACCCTATTAAGTTTGGGGGTAGCTCTGCTGACTAAACCGGTTATTCCGTACAGAAAAGCCTCGGTCCAAAGGAGCCTCAACTCCCGCAAAGGAGCCGAAGAAGCCAGGCATATTAAACCCGTCTGCACTCACCATAAGCCTCCAGTATCTACATTTTTCTCATTTGTATAGGTTACTTTTGACCACTATACCATACATCCTGAGAGGGTGATTACTAAATACCCTACAAGAACACTTAGCCGCAGATATGAGCGGACCAGGAGCTGGCCATCAATTCCCCAGCGAGGGTGTGAGTTGGATGAAGAGAGACATCCTCCTCTTTGCCAATAGCATTGGGTGCACCACGGAAGAGCTCCATTTTCTTTATGTACGTATAATGACACTTCCAATATAGCTACAGGCAGCTAACCCGTTACTCCAGGAGTTACACCCAAACTTTGCAGCTTTCCCAACATATCCTGTCATTTTACGTATGTTACCCATTCTTCGATTAATATATGTCTTATTATATTCTAACAACTTATTAAGCGTTTAAATATACCTCTCAGGAGGTTATTGATTTCTATTCAAGCAAAGCTAGCAGAGCTATTCCAGGTGTACCTCCTCTTGATCCTAGACGTACTGTCGATGGGCAGAGGAAAATGTTTTTCTACAAACCCCTTCCTGTCACTAGTGAGGGCCGCAAGTTTGAGCTACAATCCAGAGTCATTGGCGTTTACGATAAAGGAAAAGTTGGTACTGTTGTGGAAGTGGAGTACCTTATTGTTGATAAGGAAACCGGAGAAGTGTACACTAAGATGATTGGAAGCGCATTCTATATCGGCCAGGGCAATTGGGGCGGTCCAAAGGGTGAGCTTTAACTTGCACAACTACCGGGAATATCTTCTTTACGCTAACAACAAGCATTAGGCCCTGCAAGCGTGAACTTCTCCCCACCTCAGGGCAAGGGCCCCGATGCAGTCCACGAGTATCAAACAACTGAAAACACCGCCATGCTCTATAGGCAAGCATTTATACTCCCCCTCCTGTTGGCCCTGCTTCTAATATGGATAATTTCAGACTCAATGGTGATTACAACCCGCTTCACGCAGACCCTGCACCAGGAAAGAAGATGGGTTTTGGCGGTGTTATAATTCACGGCCTCTTCAGTTGGAATATGGCAGCTCATGCTGTACTTGCTAAACTAGGCGGCAGCGATCCCAAGAACATGAAAGAGTTTCAGGCTCGATTCGCTTCTCCTGTCCGACCTGGCGATAAGCTTACTACGGAGATGTGGAGGACAGGTAAAGTAGAGGATGGATTTGAGGAAATCATCTTCACCACTAAAAATGGTCAGGGGAAGGTTGTCTTGAGCAACGGCCGTGCTCTCGTGAGAGTCGTCGGGACTAAGAGCAAGCTGTAGATACTCACAGGCACTAAACCATAGTGCCACGGGATCAAAGAGGCTTAATTACCCATGGAACCGTGGGTGTTGTGTCCATTCATTCAGATGATATCAGCCAGCAGATATGATTATTGTACCAGGCAGGGGTGTCTGGGGATTTCTTGCTTATATTTTAGTGACTATTTTTGCACCGTGACCTGGACGAGTTTAAAATCTCCGAAACTTAATAGCCACCTTAAAATGCAAGGCACTACATTCATGTCATGTTATTTCGATTTTTGAAGTTCGATTTTTGAAGGGAAAGACCCTGTAGAGCACATGTAAAGATGAAACCACCACATGGAGATCCCGACGATCAGCACTAGCAGGAATGTATTGAACGTGGCATCTTCGGTTGTTGGATATTTAATAGACAATTCTCTCTACATGAAGCCCCTGAGAGTCGTTCATTTCGTGTTAGAACGGGCCAAGTAAAATAAATAGCCAATTAGTTATCCGAGCCTCATCTGGGCCATAGAGAAACCCCGCTCTCGAAATCTAACGGTTGAACCCGTTTTTTCCCATGTTCCTACGTCGTCGAACTTGTACAGCGTGGTAACCATGAATGCCTTTCGGTGTATCCGAGCTACGGGCATTGCGCGGTAAGTTTTAATCTTGTCCAAAGACTTGCCAAATATAACTAACACATATTTTTATAGGCCGAGGACACACGCCCGCTTGCCCACAACTGCACAGGTTGGTCTACACCAGCAAAGCATAAACTTCCAGGGGCCTGCGAAATCAGTGTTAACAGAGGCATTATACCCCAATAAATAGCAAGCAGTTAGTAAACCAGCTTTGCAAAAATACTTCAGAGAAGCAAGATGCTTTTCGTTACCGGTGCGGGCTAGCGCATCGTCTCAACTGACACAGGCTGATACCTCTTCAACCGTGCCTTCTGTATCTTTCCCTGTCCCCGGACTTGAAGGACACAAATGGTAGTTATACATCTTTGCCTTCGGTATAGGAGGTGAACTGACAGATATAGGTCGAACTTCTGGCTAAGGGACAACTGCCAATGCCACGAATGCGTCCACCCAGAAACCAGACAACGCCTCCTGGATACATTTTCTGTAGGTTGAGAATACCTATTCCATACCTCCCTGGGGCAGCAAAGGCTGACAAGTGGGACAGTTACCGGAAGATGGTAAACCGTCAACTATAAAACTTCTGGAGAACGGACTCGAAATAGAATGTGTGTATGGCCTCGCACAAAATTTGCATCTATATAACGTTCTGACATTGGAAAAGGGGCAGGAGACGGCCATAAAAGTACTTTTACCTATGAGTGGTTAGAAAACCATACATCTTCAAGTGCAGCTCCCGCGGAGACTCCCGTCATAAGGTGTGTAATCTTGGTGTCTTTCTTTGGCTTACGATCTAATCATATCCCTAGGAATGATCTTGAATATGTCGAAAGCACATCAAAATCACTACCGGCTGTCGAGTATGAGGAAGTGATGTCATCGGACGAGGGCATACGAAGATGGACAAGCAATATAGTACGTTCCTGAGTCTAACTATCATGTTCAGTATGGCACAAACTGACATTTCATCCCTATTAGTATCGATTTGGCTTTAGTTTTGTGAAAGGAAGCCCGGCTACTCCTGAAGCAACTGAGCGATTATTAGAGAGGCTAGCTTTCATCAGACCTACCCATTACGGTGAGTATGAAGCCGTGGACCGAGTGCCGCTATTATTTGCTAAAACAGAGTAGGAGGCTTCTGGGATTTTACATCTGATCTTTCAATGAAAGATACAGCATACACATCACAGCATCTCAAAGCGCACACGGACACAACGTACTTTACTGACCCTGCCGGACTTCAACTCTTCCACATGCTATCTCACACTGACGGAAAGGGCGGGGAGACGCTGCTGGTTGACGGGTTCAAAGCCGCTCGTACTCTGCTTGAAGAAGATCCCGCGGCTTATCAGGCGCTTAGCGATATCAAAATCAGCTCGCATTCCAGTGGAAACGAAGATGTCTGTATACAGCCAGCTACCTCGTTCTCGGTGCTGAATCACATAAGCGATTCATCTGAGTTGTACCAGATTCGGTGGAACAACGATGACCGTGCACCAGGAAAAGGGAACTCGCTGGAAACCATCCATCGCTGGTACCAAGCTGCAAAAAAATGGAATGCAATCCTCAAGCGACCTGATATGGAGATCTGGCTCAAACTTGAACCAGGGACACCCCTCAGTAAGTGTCTCTTTCCTAGGATAAAAATAAAATGAAAAAGAGGGTAAGCTAACTGCATTCCATCATCCAGTATTCGATAACTGGAGAATTCTCCATGGCCGCTCTGCCTTTACCGGGAAGAGGCGAATGTGTGGTGGTTATAGTGAGTACTCCAGAAACGCCTAAGGTATCTTGAGTAGAAATAGGATACATGTTAACATCCCAATTTGATAGTCAACCACGATGATTTCATATCCCGATATCGTCTTCTTAATAACGGAAGAAACCGAGTGCTGGCTCAGATCTAATGATGGAAGTCTCCATCTATGGAAGAAAATAGTTGCACTTCGCTGTGGAAAATTTAATAAAGATGTATGGGGTTTAGAATTAGATATCAATGCACTATGACTCGAGCTGCTATTTTCTCATCATTGTGAAAATAAATTAGAAGATACTTTGAATAGAGAAGCCTTGTTGACATGGCCAGGGGGAAGAAAGGTTACCACGTGACCCGGCAGGCAAACAAGCAGCTTACGTGATGCATCAGTTTGGATGAAGCTGCTTTGGCTCTCTTGAGCTTCAACCAGCAACAACAACCTCAACGACCTACACTTGCTCCTCTTTCCCGCAACCTGCGTACCTGAATCTATACTATAAGGCAAAGGCTAGAATAGTTCTAATATTCCATTAAACCGAACGTATTCTTCCACAGATTATCCCCACATTTAGCCGCCATGTCTACCTTAGAGGATCTCGATGACCTTGAGCGTGAGGACAAGAACCAAAAGGATGACCGAAAAGATAGTGGCAAGAAGGAAGCAGACAAGGACGGAGATGCGGAGATGAAGGAGACAGAAAAGAAAGAGGAAGAGGATCTCATAGACGAGGAAATCCTCCGGTCAAGCACAAGGGATATTATCAACCGAAGGAAACTTATCGAAAACGACATGCGGATCATGAAGAGTGAATTCCAGCGGTTGACGCATGAGCAGAATACGATGAAGGAGAAGATAAAGGAGAACTTGGACAAGATTGAGAATAACCGGTTGGTGTCTATGTTGTTTTTCTGCAGTCTTGAGATGAATATTCGGACTAACTCCATTTTTGCGTAGGCAACTTCCCTACCTAGTTGGCAATGTTGTAGAGTTACTGGACCTTGACGTGGAAGAGGAGGCAGCAGAGGAGGGAGCAAATATTGACCTCGATGCCACTCGAGTTGGCAAATCCGCGGTTATCAAAACCTCCACACGACAAACCATTTTCCTCCCACTCATCGGACTCGTTGACCACGAACAACTGAAACCCGGTGATTTGATCGGTGTAAACAAAGACTCCTACCTTGTTCTAGATACCCTTCCTGCCGAGTACGACAGCCGCGTAAAGGCAATGGAGGTAGACGAGAAGCCTACCGAGCAGTATTCCGATGTTGGTGGTCTGAACAAGCAGATTGAAGAACTCCTTGAAGCTATAGTATGGCCCATGAAGGAGGCGGACAGGTTTAAGAAGATTGGTATCAAGGCTCCCAAAGGTATGCGATTTAATATCTCAGTAAATTTCTTTGGATTATATATGAAATCGAATAACCGCTAACCTCATTCATAGGTGCTCTCATGTACGGTCCACCCGGAACTGGCAAAACTCTCCTTGCCCGAGCATGCGCCGCTCAAACAGAGGCAACTTTCCTCAAACTTGCCGGTCCCCAATTAGTGCAAATGTTCATCGGTGATGGTGCCAAGTTGGTACGTGATTGTTTCGCCCTGGCCAAAGAGAAGGCCCCAGCCATCATTTTCATCGATGAACTCGATGCTATCGGCACCAAGCGTTTCGACTCCGAGAAATCAGGAGACAGAGAAGTGCAGCGAACTATGTTGGAACTCCTCAATCAGCTCGATGGTTTCGCCTCTGATGATCGGGTCAAGGTCCTTGCGGCTACTAACCGTATTGATGTCCTTGACCCTGCCCTTCTACGATCCGGCCGTTTGGATCGAAAAATCGAGTTCCCACTACCAAACGAAGAGGCTCGAGCTCAAATTCTCAGAATTCATTCCCGTAAGATGACGGTTGACGATAAGGTTAACTGGCCCGAACTTGCTAGAAGCACTGACGAGTTCGGTGGTGCTCAGCTTAAGGCCGTCTGTGTAGAGGCTGGTATGATTGCTCTAAGAAAGGGGGTCAATAAAGTGAGCCACGAACATTATGTCGACGCCATTTCGGAGGTAATGGCAAAGAAGAAGGATACAAATGTTGGCATATATGTCTAGACATGGCTGGCAAGCTTAAGTTGGAGGAAACAAACTGTATCTCTTGCTGTTCTTTTCCCCTGCTTGAAATAACCAGTCTTCGTTCTAGATATACAATTAAACGTTTTCATTGCGACTACGGTATTTCCAAGATTTATCATGCTGGAAGGATTTGCCCGCGTGGATAGAAGTAAAATGACTCTATGCATGTCATGTGCGTATTAAATAACTAAACACTAAAGTATATACACCTCAATCATACACATATCCCCAATCCATGATCACACTTGGTTGTACATATTAGATATACATTATCGTCCCGTTTTAGTAAGAGATGGGCAAATCCGGGGACAAAAAGGTAAAAGAAGGTATGAAGGTAAACAAGGTTCGTCATAAAAATAGACAACAAATGATAAGAAAAGAAAACAGAGTTTATAACCAATCCCAAAACTCCAGCTGGCCAGAACCGAGTGGGAAAATAGGCATACAGCATCTGTATACGAAGAAAAGGCGGGTATTGGGAAAGAGGAGAAAAATAGTTAAGAGGCAATAAAATCAACGGAAGATATCACTGACGCCGAGCAATGCGGCTGAAGTATTGGATTTCTTGATACCTCCAATATTGCGTTCTCGTTCAGCGTGACTCCACCACTCCTTCCCGTACTTATGGCCTTGGTTCCATGACCCATTGCATGTATCCCTGGCCCAGAACGGTTGATCTCCATTGCAACCGGTAGCTGGCCATGAGGTACCTTTGGTGGGTGATGTTGGCGTTTTTGGTGGCATGGGAGGGTTGGAGCTGGTGGATTTGGAGTTGCTGTGGTTACTTCGTGCATATGAGCCACCCCAGACAGAGAAACGAGAGGATGAGGAGGTTGTGGTGGTAGCGGTAGATGGAGAGGATATCTCGTCACTGAAACTAGAATTTGTATTGGTTCTTTTCGAATGTTGTGATGCGGTAGGTATAGCAGGGTGAGTGGAAGAGGGAGAGCAGCTAGCGAAGAGGGAAGTTTGGTTTGCTGCAAAGAGGTGTTTGTGGCTTATTAGACCACCATCTGCATCTGAGTTTGGTATATCAGGTTGTAAAGTAAATCGTGGGGTTAGAGCAGTCGTATTGCTTTTGTTCGATATGCCCACCCTGCCCACGCAGGCGGGTATCAGAAACTCAAGGATCTTGAGAGCAGGTGTCTGCGCTTTACCATCATTGAGAGCTAAAATTGCTTCAGAGCTAACGTATCCAGGTTGAATAACGACATTGGGGGTTAGAAAGTCCTCTGAGTGGTCTGTGATGATGACTTTCACGCCTTCATCATTTTCCTTTGCAGCTATATCGATAAGTGCCTGAGATCGTATACGCGCTGAGGACAGGTTATTCCCCGCTGGAATTGCAAGGGGCCGTTTGGGAAGCGATCCGTGGGAACTCCGGGGAAGGTTGTGGCGATCCGCAGGGACCATGATCAATCCGTTTTTGGATGGCCGACAAACGTTCTGGAGTGCTCCCAATGGATCTATATCAAGTGGCGCTCGAAGGCGCTCGAGAGAAGGGAAACCAACATGTAAAATACTCTGCGCCAGATGTGAATTGGGAGTGTTTGCTGTATTCAGGACCTTGGAGAATGGCACGGTATCGATCTGGTTTAGTGCATCGGCGCCATTCGGACAGGCAACATCCCAGTGTAGGTGTTTCAGGGTTGCTGAAGCAAGGAGTGGTTGGAACACCATTCCCCCTTCCGGTAACGATGGGACAACCGATGATTGAACTATAGTGAAGCGCTCAAGACAACCAAGGGAAGCAAGGATCTTGGACAAGATCAAAAGAGAAGATATGTTCTGCTCTATCAGGGCCAGAGACTTTAGCCCCCTTGCCTCTGGTCTGCCCACATATCGCGCTAGTCCATTTTCTGTGACTCCCTGAAGTCCCTCCAGTCGAAGAGACGTCAAGGTAGGTAGAAAGAGTAATGTTCTATCAGTGAAATTGTCTGCTTCAAATCCTGAAACGGATAAATTCTGTAAAGCAGGCAGGAAGTTGAACATCCGTATAAACACACCGTGTTCCAGTATGCCCTTCGAGTCCATGGAATGCAACACCATTGACTCGAGTTTCGACCACGAGGTGTGATGACTGAGAAATTGGTATACCTGGGCTTGGTCCAGTACTTCAGTGGCCTTACTCTGTGACCGTTCAGTCACCTCTGCATTTGGGCCAATAATCCAAGCGTGTTCCTTGAGTTTTTTCCTTGTGGATAACGCATGAGTAAGACGGTCAAACTCATGGTAATATGGTATCGAGAGGCCAAGCAGGCGCTCGAGATTGGGACAGACCATGACAACAGAGGCAACCAGGTCGCGATACTCTTGGAGGACAAGATGTTGTTTGCCTGTCATCAGGGGAGCATCTAGCTCTGGTACCCTGAGTTCAAAGACCATGTTTGCCAGGGCCTTTCTTTCTCTCAATGTTCGTCTGAGAAGTCTCAATCGACTGCCACGTTTCCATTTGTATTTCTTCAGCGGGCCCGGTGAGTCGCTACCATGAAGATGGATTTTGTTATATCTATACCCGTTGGCTGCTATTATTACTTGCAACAAGGGAAGTAATGGTCGAGTACGAGCTATGTGAAAGGAAGAGGAGAGGGAAGAAAAAAACAAAAGCTTACAGTTTACCTCTGACTGCCTTTTCCCACGCTCTATCAGTCAGACTTAGGGAATACAGATCTCGCATGTAACAAGTCAAGCAACCTTCGGTACAAGAGCTGACGTGTAATGACCAGAGATGGGACAGGATGCATTCATAGACCTCGTCCGGGAGTCGATTTGTAAAGACCTGCATTGGCTGCTGGTCTTGTGGCGAGGCCCTGCCATGCTTGGTCGGCGGGTAAAATGAATATCTGACGGTGGCAGGAGAGTAGAGGCTTGGGACACTGGAATTGGCAGCATGGTTCGAGTAGAGAAGGGGAAATGTCGGGCTCCTGACCGGAGAACGAGGAGACTGGGGCAACACTGAGGGATTATGCGGAGGGGTAAACTGGTATGAGGCTGTGTTCGAAGACATTCGCTGTGATCCAGGTGAAGCTGTAGCGACGATACTCATTGTTGTAGTAGATGGCAGCGTAACATTCTTTTCTCCAGTAGTCGAAAAAGCGAGGGAAAAAGACCGGAGGAGAAAGACAAGAGAGGTACTTTGTATGGGTGTCACCGCGTGTAGGGCTCTTTAACACTGTAAGTGCGGGTTAAGTATGGTTTGTTTTTGCGCTGGCTTGCGCCTTTGAGGACGAATTGTATGGGGGGAGGAGGAGGTTTGTTTTGGGGGAGGGACGAAATAGTGGTATATCCTGAGGTTTCCTGCCCTTCCTACCACCCGCGCAAAACCCAGCTCTTCTCCTCTCCTCCTCCTCGTCTCTCCTGATCTACATTCCCCGTACAAGGTCACTAGGGGCCCTTAAAAGAGCAATACCCGAGCTGCTTGGGCGAATAGCGCCGCGAGTTAGTGAGTTAGTGTGGTAAGACCTGCACCACCAATCCATGCGAACGAGTGCTTGGCGATCAACACAGGCCCAGGGATGATAGTCGTATCCCTGAGCGTATTTCTATCTCGAAGCAATCGAAGTTGTCCTTCGTTGAGAGTCCAAAAGTATGTATCTGGATGCAACCATGTCTATAGAGTACGGAGTAATATCGGCTCTCCCTTATTCCATGCGTCTGTGTGTTTTGCTTGTTTCTCTTTCCTCGCAGCAACAATCTTCGTAGGATATACTTTCAAAGTAAACGAGAGACAAGCCAGTCTGGCCCGGCGCTGTGCTGTGCTGTGCTTCTGTGTTTTGCATATTGCAGAGGGCAGTGCCCGTGGTACGAGCTGGTTCAGCTTGTAAAGGGCGCCTCGTCGGAGCCTTGACAGAAGTTGACACCGTCTGACGTCCATAGCGTTAGCCCGTCTGTCCTATATCCGTCCATATATGTCGACTCGAAAAAAAGGAGTCCAGGTACCACTCAAGGTGAAACACGACAGCGGAATGCAGAGCGGCGATAGGCCCCCTTACAGCTGTCAACCAGATGTCTCCCTCCCACCCTTGTTCCTCATCTCCACTCAGGGCCCAGCATGAGCATAAACCTCGTAAACATGCAGGCGCCGGGCGTGCGGCCGGTGCTGCACCTGCATCAATGGCGGTACTCCGTAATAAACTCCCCCTCCCCAAAAAAAAGCCCGTCTTAGTTTGTTTTCCCTGTTTCTTTTTCGTTTTTTGGTCCCTTGCCAATATTATTATTCTTCTTGATATGGAGAAGTCCTTGGTTGAAATTGGCTGAAGACGAGAGAAGAAAAAGCAAAATAGGAGGCGTCGCTTTTGGCGCCTCTGGTTGGCTGGATTGGGACGCGCTAGCGCAGGAACCGCGCGCTAGTGGTGACTAAGCAGCCCCCGAAAAGAGACGTCAAGCCAAAGCTACGGCGAGGGGAGACGTAAAAACAGCCAATAACTAGTTCGATCGGTTATATCGCGTAGGGGGGGGAGTTTCTGAGGCACTAAGGAGGTGATAAAAATAGAGCTGGCGAATGCAAGAAAGCTGCATGAAATTTATATGGAATATTAAGGGGTTAAACGGGAGAGACTAAGGAATCAATAAAGATATTGGATGGGTAACATCAGCCTCCACCATACAGCGCCCAACCAACAAGCCAACAAACCGACAGACTGACCCCTTGGCTACATGCAAATAGATGAAAGAATAAAAAATGCCCGCTAGACGATTTATGCCACGCTTTGTTTGTTTGTTCGCTTGTTGAAGAATGAGTTTCTTTTTTTTTCCGTTTCTTTTCTTTTGGATGAGGAGAGAAGTGATAATGAAGGAAAAGGAGATAGAAGAGTTTGGATCTGGTATTTATGAAACTGGACCTGGAAGCAGTATGGCTTGGTAAATAAGAAATGTAAACTGACTCAGACAGAAACAGTACGGAGGACATGTAAATAAATCGACGGTGATGGGAAAAAAAAGGTCCCCTCCTTGCCCTTCTTTCTTTTGCTTTTAATTCTTTTTTTGGTTTTGGGTGTTTTTCTTTTTTGTAGTTGGAATGAATTATTCCTCTTTACCTTGTATGCGTGACCGGTAGACCGGGCGGAGTAAAGCAATATGAAGCATGCATTGTGCTTGACAGATAGAAGGAATGATAATGGGAGCAAGCAAGGGGGGAGGGAAGGCTAGAACGCAGAGTTGAATGGAAAAGGCCCACTAAACGTAAAACGGAAATACTCGCGGGAAAGGGAAGTAGAGAGAAGAAAAGGCGAGAGGAAGATAAGGTCCTCATCAGATAGCCTGAGATTGATACCTTGAGGCGTGTAGATGAGGAAAATGAGAAGACGGACAAGGGCCGATACAAAAGGCACAAGCATAAGTAGGTTGTTTAGTATGTGCAAGTGGCATCAAGTCATATACTTCATGATCAGGGAAGGGAAGATATCACAAAAAAAAAAAAAAACAAAAGGGAAAGAAAAGGGCATGAATGTTGTGAAGAAAAAGGCCAGGCACAAACGCATCAAAGAAGTGAGAAGAAAGTAACTTCTCCTAGCGATGTTTAGATCATGTGAGCAGTTGTGTTATTCACTTACTCCCCCGACGCTTCACATCTCAAAGTGATAGTCGTCATGGAAGATACCTGCATCAGCATCGCCGTTTGATACAGTGCTTGTGCGCTCAACTCCACTCATGCGATGGCTATGGTCGGGACCAGCACTATGGCCTGTGCCAGCCTTGCCACTACCACCACTAGTTTTATGAGGTTGCACCCATTGCTCAGGGAAGTCTTCTTCCATGTAGTCGTCGGCCGTATTACTGGAGTAATTCTCACCATGGCTCATATGATGCTCCATCGAACTCTCGTTGACAAAAGTGAAACCTTTAAAGTTAGCTTGCATGCCCGGGGACAGCGGTGTACCAGCGGGATTCAGCCCATTCGCCAATGCAGCGGCTCTCGCGTTCAGGGAAGCAGATTGTTCCAGGGCAGTGGTAAACTCGGGGTCAAAGTACGAAGTATCCATGACAGATGTAAGTGTTGGTTTGAAGGGAGGGATAACGCCCTTGTTGGCTAGAACGACCCAGTCGATGTCGTGGAAAAATGGGTGTGCCATGAGCTCCTTAGCGTCATCCCGGTAGCCAAGACGGTGTTCAGGGTTGCGGTTCAACAGACCCTTGACGAAGTTGCGGCCTTCAGCGCTGAGGGCGTCGCGAGGGAACCGAACCTTGCCGAACGCGATGTTCTTGTACATCTGCTGGGTATCCTCGGCGTAGAACGGGCTCCAACCGCAGCACATTTCAAACACAAGGACACCCAGGGACCAGAAATCAACCATTTTAGTGTACCCGGTCTCGTTAAGTAAGACTTCAGGAGCGAGATATTCGGTTGTACCACAGAAGGTATTGGTGGTGTCATCCTTGGTGAGATTGGCCTTAGACAAGCCGAAATCGCAGAGAGCTATGTGCCCGTTGGCATCAAGAAGAATGTTCTCAGGCTTCAGATCGCGGTACACAATGTCGTGGTCGTGAAGATGCTGTAGAGCAAGGATTAATTCGGCAATGTAGAACTTCGCGCGAGCTTCGAGGAATCGCCCTTCCTTCTGGAGATGCCAGAACAGCTCGCCGCCCGACATGTAGTCTGTGACAAGGTACAAATCTGTAGGAGTCTGGAAGGAAAACTTCAGGCCAACGATAAATGGAGAATCCGTCATGGCGGTGCGGACGAGGATGTTTCTCTCTCCAAGGGTATGGGCAATTTCCTTTTTCTGAATTATGACTTTCTTCGACAATACCTTCATAGCATAAATCCGTTGAGTGTCTTTCTTTCTCACCTGGTACACCTGACCAAAAGTACCCTTGCCGATAAGCTTGAGAATCTGGAAGTCGTTCGGACCAAACTGTTTTTTGTCGGTCTTCTGGAAGCTCATTTGAAGGTATATCTCTCCCGACACTGGGCCCTGACCGTGGGCGAGTGGTTGGAGAGGATACCATCCCGACAATGTGGTGTGGTCGTCCTTTAGGTGGAGTGATAGTTTCAAATGGCCGAGGAAGGCCTCATGATTTGAACGGTCATAAACAGACACGTCAAGTTCCGACTGATGTCCAAGTACGTCACTATATATCGATTAGTAAAGAAAATAAGATAGCAATAAAGAGGAAAGGAATGCACGCGCAACGCACAAGACGGCATCGTGATTCCACTGTGGATCAGTCACTTCAATAGGCCCGTTACTATGCCCCCCATCCAACATGCTGTTGTGGCTGCTCTGTCGACTCTTCATTGGTATGGCCATGGGACGTCCGGAATCACTGTTCGACCGCTGAATTGGCACTGATCCTAGCGCTTCGAGTCTATTTCTAGAACCAGCCCCATGGCCAGCCATACTAGCAGTCTGGCCACCCTTCTCATCTGTCTTTGCACCCTTGGAGATGTACTCGTTCCATTCAAAAACGCAAACGACATACGGATCAACGCTAGGACGAAGGCCACGTCCTTCAACTATTTTGACGGTTAGTTTTCCCTTTAGAGAGGCGGTTACCGGTACGCCGGATTCCTCCGAGGCTCCACTGGATCTAGAGGAGGCCGAAGGCTTGTTTGATTTGCTTTTCCGCGCATTTGACGAAGAGGCGGCCGAGTGTCTTCCGCCCTGAGAGCTGCTGTCTGGGGTATTGTTACCCTGGTGAGGGGGAGAATGCTCTATTATCGACCTAGGGGGGTCTCTCTTCTCTGCGGCATCGGTTTCATTGGACATTGCACGGGGGGTGAGAGGAGGTGTGTTCTTTGTCCGCGGGCCCGCGGCCACGCTGTCTGTCAGCTTTCCCAGATCCTCGCAAGAGCTGGAGATTGAGTGAGGGTGATGAAGGTGGTTATTATGATTTTGGGAGGAGGATTTGGAGGAAGATAAGAGGGAGTTGGGTTGTGATAATGACTGTGAGGAAGGGCGGGAAGGTTTAGAAAAATGGGAAGCCATGACGGCATCTGGGGAGACACTGGAGACAGGAAAGGAGGTATGTCGTTTGGACTTCTGCTTTTGTGAGGACTTGGAGAATATAAGGTTCTTTAGGGCGCGGTAAACCGAGCTCACTCCGGTATCAACTTCTGGAGCACCATTCTCGGCCTCTTCAGTGTCCCTATGGGCGATGGAACAAAACGAGGAGCGGGGAGGAGTCGGTAGAGGATTGACAGCAACAGCACCAGCATTAGCATCATTAGCATCAGCGCGGCCACCGCCACCGCTACTTGTATGCATGGAAGGGGCAAGGAAGTAGTCCTTGTCCGATATCACCTCGAGACTCTGTGCGGTGGGAGGACGAGAAGGTGTGCTGACAGGTGCTGAGTTCTGACAACCACGGTCCAACGGATTGGTCGACTCAGTGAGTGGAGGGGAATGTGATGTTGAAGTAGGCGGTTTCAAAGCATCCGATAGTATTTCCTGCTGTTGTGTCTCTCCGGTCTGCTGGCAAGGATCCCCAACAGCAACCACACCATCATCACTACTATGCTTCCCTGGGGTATGATGGGTAGAACAAGAGGAAGAAGACATGGAATGAGGAGGAGGAGAAGAAGAGGAGGAGGAAGAAGGTCGTATACTGGTGGTGGTAGTGGTAGGGTTTGAATTAGAATCGGAACCAGCACCAACCTGTGCAAAGAAACTAGGCATGATCCCGGGGACGCGCTTGTCGGACGGATCGGGCTGCGGCGTTGCGATCCCGGTAGGCGTTGAACCCATCGACCCTATCTGGTCTTGGGAGTCATCTCCATGCTTTTGACTGTATATAGGACGCGGGTTAGCCATCTGAAGTTGTAGCAGTGCATGAGCAGCAACAGTGGACAGAACAGCAACCAGCAAATTGAGGGCTAAAAAACAGGGCAAAGAGAGGAAAGGACAGGCAGCCTGAGCATCCTGAGGCTGAACGGCTTGCTTGTTCCGGGTGCAGTCGTGGTTTGATGGCGAGCTAGCCAGCGATCTTGCTGCTGCCGTGGTCACCGTCGCTGTGGCTATTGCCGTGGCATGGGAAACGAAAAGCTGGGGTGACAGCTTGGTGGCGTTTTCCCTTCCCCCCAGGCGGAGATAAAGCGGTCTCTGGTCTTGCAGCGTAGCTCTTGTCTGGACGCGGAGATGAGAGCCGGTCGACAGGAGGAGGTGCTGGACTTTTCCTTGCCACCGTAGTCTCTTTCTACTTTGTCGCCGTCGCCGTCGCCGTCTTCTTCTTTTTCTTCTTGTTCTTCTTCTTTTCGTTCTTCGCTGTTCTCCGTCGTTCGAATGACGCTGGGGGTGACTCGATGTGAGAGCCAGCCCTTTTGTCTCACGCGCGGCACGAAGGGCAGCCAGGTGTACAGCCGACGGCGGTCACCGTTACGACCGTTGGACAAGAGGTACAAAGGGGGAAGACGACACAGCAGCAGTAGAGGGGAGAAATGGAGAAGAAGAATAATAATAGTAATAATACAGAGACGATATAAAGAGCGAGACTCACTTCTGAAGCATCGCTTGCCGCAACAGGTCTGCGTGGGCATGGGCATTCACTCCTCCAAACTCCGCCATGTCCTCTTCGTGCGGGTTACCTGCTGTCCATCCACGAGCCACGCTCTCCGTGCTCTTCCCTCTGGTTTCTTCCCGGTTACTGAGCTTTTGTCTCGGTGTCTCTGTCACTGTCTCGCTGCTGGTCAGGCCGACTTTCTCGCTGACGTCGTCCGGGGGAGAGGGGGGGGGCAGGCGCTGGTCCGGGGCTGGCTGGGAGGGGTGGTGGTGATTGGCAGCGAGGCCAGCGCAGCGCAGGATGCAAGCGGTGGCGAAGGGCAAAGGGAGGCTGAACCTGTTCGACAGCAAAGCAACTTCAGACCGCCAGACAGGCCTGAGTCAAGCAGCGGGAGTCGGCGTAGTGGAGGATGTAGCGAGATGTAGAGCAGAGAAGATGGAGCGAAGGAGACGGAGAGAGGAGAGAAAAAAAATATTTTGGTGGGAGAAGGGAAAAAAGAGAAGGTTAGGTAACCAAAGGCGGAAGTCTCTTTTTTTTTTTTTTATATATAGATAGGAGAGGGACAGGACAGGACAGGACAGGACAGCGAGGGCAACAGATAGCTTCCGCTGCTCAGCGTTCTTATTCTTATTTCCTTCTGGCTGCTTCTTCTTCTCCTTTTTTATTTTGATGGTTAGTGTTTCGGACCCAGAGGAGGAGACGGAACCAGCAGAGACAGGCGGCAAAGGAGGTCCGCCGTGGTGGAGGAGAGTCGATGGGACCTGATCCACAGACAGGACGATGTCAGGCAAAGTTGACGTTTGAAGATGAAGTCAAGGTGAGGGTTGAAAGTGGGAGGAAGAGAGAGAGAGAGAGACTACGCGGATATCAAAGGGAAGAAAAAGGAGGGCTTTTCTTTTAGTTGGCCTGCTCCGTCTACAGCTACGGCTAACGAGGATTTACTAGAAAGGGTCAAGAGAGCCAGCCTCAGGAGACAAGCGTTGCACCAGTCAGTCATACCTGCAGATAAAAATATACATCAAGGAGGCAGAAGAGCCAGAGAAGTAGCAGCAGAAGAAGAGAAAATGTCGGATGATCTAGCTCGCCTCCGAGCTGTGCAACCACTGGCAGCCGGGCATCAAACATCACCAGGCCGTCAGGGGAGAGAGAGAGAGAGCAGTAGAAGAAGAGAGGGCCATCTAAGAAGAACGACGATGACGGCTCAGCTCGTGAAACGGTCATCTCGACGTCTCTTCATCGTTGATTGTCCTCTTCTTCCCTCCGAGTCCTCGCGGGTGTCGCCGACCAACTGCCGAACTCGGCCGTTCCTGCAACTGCCTTCCGTCTTAATCTCCCGGACGTCCTTCATGTCTGCTGCCTCGATCCTCTGTCTGATCTCTGCCTGAAAGAAGCAAAACTAGTGGTTTAGCTGGTTACATCATGGTATACATGCATGCATGCAGTCGATACCTGCAAGTCACAACGGGTACATGGGAAGTCACTTAAGATACGGTAGTTATCTACATACCGAGCTGAAATAATACCGCGGGGTTCGAGTCGCAGGAAGAAAGCAAAGCAAAGCAGAGGGGAGAGGGGAAGCAAGAAAGAAAAAGAAAAAGGGAAAACGGAGAAGATGCTCAAGACAAGACGGTGGATTGGCCGGCACTTGAGGCGAGACGAAGATGAGATGCATCAAGGTCGAGTATTTGTCCCACCAGCGTATATGTCAAGTACATCGCAGTACAAACAAGACGGCCATGACTAAGACGAGAGTGCCTGGCCCGCAAGCTTCCCTTCGGCATGGAGAAAGAGAGCCCTTGCCCTGGACGATGAGAGGCCCGGGAGAAAGTCGCACACCCGTTTGGCCGTTTGGTTTCCATGGGACGAGGTCGCCGAGAGATGAACGTCCTGTCCTTTCCATGGCTCTGCTGGAGTCTCTTTTTTTCCCCTGTCTGTGGCCATTGCCGCTGAACAATCCTTTTCGCCTCTCTGACTAAGTGGGAGCTCGGTAGTTACTCCGTCCCACGTCCACGTTGATCGGATGTGCCGATGGAGAAGTCGGGATGTGGTGATTCTTGCTGTGGGTGAGCGTAGAGACCTTGTAGTCCCAGAGTGCCCGCTACCTGTTTCTACCAACTATACTTCTCCAGACCTATTATCACTACCATGTAACTGCCATGACCATCATGATCATTCTTCCTACCACCACTACTGCTTCTGTTTCTTCCTCTACTCCCAGCTCTATCAGCTCTCTGAAGATGCTTTCTGGCACGTGGTTTTTATTATTAAGCAGCGCACGTGACATCACGTGTTCAGAAGTTAAAGCTTGACGATGTTGCAAAAAGAAGATAAAGACGACGAAGAGAAGAAGAAGAGAGTAAAAGAAAAGAGACAACGGCTCTCACCATTGACAGGCCTATATTCTATTGCTCACTGGAGCCTCGATCTCCAAGAGCATGGCCCGAAAAGTCAGGGCGGCTGCAAGGGCGGCTGCCGCTTCGCTCAGTAAGTAGACGACGCGGTTAGATAGTCAATGGGCAAAAGAGCTAACATGGGAAATAGAATCCACGCCGCAGCAGCTTGAAGAGTCTGACACAGAGATGACAGGCATGGCCTCGCCTCAAAAGGATACTCGCGAAGATGAAGCGGATGATGACGCCGAGGGAGAAGGTGAAGGCGAAGGCGAGGAAGTTGCGGACGACGATGAAGTTGACGAGGACGAGAGAGACACGCCGAGGACACCTATTGAGGGCGAAGAAGGGATGACACCCACCGCAGACAACGAGTCTGAAGGAGGCGCACAGGATACACCGTCTCGGCCTTCCAGCACGGCGGGTCGAGGCGGCAGCAGCATGCTCGGGCGACCCCCACGACGACGGCGCATCGGCCGTCCTCCAAAGAACAAACCAGCCGACTGGGACGCAGAAGAAGGCACAGGAACGCCGACAGGAACGGGCAGGACAGGCACTCCAGATACACCGGGAGCACGGTCTGGTGCGAACACACCCGTCAAGCGTGGCCGGGGTCGAGGCCGACCTTATGGCGGCGGAGCAGGAGGTAGCGGTGGCGGCGCAGGAGGAGGAGGGGGAGGGGGAGGAGCTGGTCGTTGGGGCCCCAAGTCGCGCGGCAGCTCGGC